GCGGAGTGTTACTAAACCACATTGAGGTTGTACCTGAATAAAGAATCAGCCTGACTCTTAGCGTTTTTTGTTTGTTTGTTTGTTTTGGTCTTTTGAAACAGGGTCTCCTTGTAGCCCCAGTAGCCTGGAACTCACTATGTAGACCAGGCTGGCCTTGAACTCAGAGATCCGCCTGCCTCTGCCTCCCAGTGCTGGGACTACAGGTGTGTGCCACCACGCCTGGCTTAGCATTAAGTTTTAATAGCCAAGAGTAGATCCCAACCCTAAGAGCTTGTTCCTTCAGATCTCTCATGGCATTGTGCTCTCCAGGCAGGCTTCATCCACACTTTTATTCAAAACGATTTCTCCATCATCCATTGGGAAACTACAAGCTTAGAGCTTCCCTCTTAGCAGAGGACCTTGTCCTTTGATTCCTAGGCCTAAAATGTCTCATACACATGTCAAGCAGTTTCCTCAAGTCTCAGTGAGGACACAGATATGAAAGTGCTACATTCAGCACTTTGAAATACAAATTCAAGCACACCCACATTCAATCACTGTCAGGTTGAGGGCAAAGTGGGGTCCAAGGGATGAAGGTCAGGTGCTCAGAGCACAAGAGCACATGGCTCAGTAAGCTTGTTTGCATTAGAAACAGTAGCTTTTTGATTGAATAAAAGTCATTGGTCCAAATTCTGTCCATTTTGCAAGTTATTCCTACATGAACCATGTCATGCAATACGAGTGGAGGCCACAATAGGGCATTGTATCCCCTGCAGCTGAATAGTTGTTAGTCACCATTCACGTGATAAGAACCAAACACGAGTCTTCTGCAAAAGCATCCAATGCTCTTAAGCCCTGAGCCATCTCTTTCTCCTTTTTCCTCTTGAGAACCTAGCCCAGGGAAGGATGCTGCCCATATTTAGGTTGGGACTTTCCACCTCAGTTAACTTAACCTAGATAATCCCTCACATACATGATCAGAGATTTATTTTCATGTGATTCTTAGTCCCATTAAATTTACATTCAATATTAACCATCACACCCATGAAATTTGAGCTTAGTGCTGGAAACTGAGATCAAAGAGCAAATATTAGAGCAGAAGATTTTCCTGGCACCCATATCCACAGCCATTCAAATAAGAATCTCCAAATAACTACTGCTCAGAAAGCAAGGTTAGGAGCTCTGTGCCCTACACTGAGACAGAGATCAATCTGTAAATTCTTTAATATTGTTTACTTCTGTGTTACACTGTAGTAAAACAGAAATTCTCAGTGACTGAGAAATCACAAAGGTTGATTCCCCTCACCCCCATGGTACCTTTCTATCACTTTGCTACTAGAGAGGGTCTTGGGATTTCCCTTGACTTGATGTCCAGGTTCTTTGTATCTTCAACAAGGAATTGAGCAAGATACATGTTATAGGGGAATTGGAATTCCCTTTGGCAGGATCTTAGTCTCATTAATAAAGAATTTTAAAATGGACTGATAAGGAAGCTTAAGAAGTGTTTTATTAGCGTTTGAGAGAAAAACCACACGACTAGCAAGATGTAAGTCCCAGTAGCTGGGAAAAGAGAAGAACAGGGAAGCTATGTGTTTTGAGTCAGGGTCAACAGTGGAGATTTGCAAGTAGTTGTATTAAGGGTAAAGGGTCTTAGAAAACAGTGAGAAAGCCCAGAGTATCATGTCAAGCATGCATGGGATTTTTGGTCAGTATCCAAAGGATAGATTGAAAGGGAAAAAGAAAAAGTTAACACTTTTGAGTTAGAGCTTAGAAAAGTGGCAGACTTAGCAGAGAAGATCTGCAAGCAGCTAAATATATATATATGAACGTTAACTCATTTGGGGAAAATTATTTCCTCTATCACTAGCATGTCTTCAGGTGAATCAGCTTTCCTGAGGTGTGGTCTCTTGGCCAGGTGATTCACAAGTCTAGTGGATTAGACTTTTTTTTTTTTTTTTTTTGGTCTTTTTGCGACAGGGTCTTGTAGCCCTAGCTGGCTTGGAACTCACTGTGTAGACCAAGCTAGCCTCAATCTCACAGACATCTGCCTGCCTCCTGAGTGCAGGGATTAAAGGCATGTACCACCATGCCCAGCTTGTGGATTAACTTTTTTTTAAGTATTTTCATTTTATGCATATCAGTGTTTTGCTTGTGTATGTGTATGTGCGTCATGTACATGCCTGGTGCACTCAGTTGTCAGAAGAGGTCATCAGATTACCTGGAACTGGAGTTGCAGGCAGTTCTCTGCAAGACCAGCAACTACTCCTAACCTCTAAGCCATCTCTATAGCCACCCAGGGCCAGAAGACCAGGAGGAAGTAGTTTTCCTTGGATGTGCCTTAGTAGAGCCCTGTACCTCCATCTTTTCATATAGTAAATGTGAGGTGGGAGTCCATCCCAATGGCTTCCAGCCTGCTAATGCCTGTGTAGCTGCTTAGCAGGTGATTTTTTTTTTTTTTTTGGTCTTTTTGAGATGGTCTCCTTGTAGCCCCAGCTGTCCTAGATTCACTATGGAGACCAGGCTGGCCTCGAACTCCAGAGATCCACCTGCCTCTGCCTCCCGAGTGCTGTGATTAAAGGCGTGCACCACCATGTCCGGCAGCAGGTGATCATTTTTGTCATCATCACCTCCAGCACTTCAGCTGATACACTGACCGCCCTCCCTTCAGGAAATCCAGTATCCGATATAAAATATGAAAAATTTTGAGCACTGGTTTGGTTCTCCAAATAGAAAATTCCATACCTAACCTCAGGTGACAAGTCACAAAGCACAGATGTACTGAAGATATTGTATAAAGTTTGTATAAGTTGTATATAAAAATGATTTTTAAATTTGTTTGGGTCATGTGTTTAGCGACTTTTCTGTTGCTCTGATCAAACTCCATGACCAAGGCAACTTATAGAAAGAAGAATTTATTGGAGCTTACAGTTCCAGAGGGTTAGAGTCCATAATGGCAAGGTGAGGCACGGCAACAGAGGTTGCCAGAGTAGAAAGCAGAGTGATCACATCAAGCAGGCAAAGGAAGCAGAGTGAGACTGGAAATCTGTCAAGGGTTAAGAACCTTCAAAGCCTGTCTCCAGTGACTTGCTTCCTCTAGTAAGGCTGCACCTCTTAAAACCTCCCAGGGGTATAACTTGTGGTTTGGAAATAAGAACAGGAAAATGTCCAGCTGCAAGTCAGTCTGCATTTGCACTAGATACTAGTAGTATATTCATATGATAGGACAGTATCCTACTGCTCTTGTATCCAGTGTACAGATCTGACAAATGACTTTGTCATTTTTTTTTTTAGTTTATTATTTCATGTGTATGAGTGTTTTGCCTGCATGTATGTTAAGTGCAACATGTGTGCAGTGCCCACAGAGGCCAGAAGAGGGCCTCGGATCCTTTGGAACTGGAGTGACTGACAGTTGTTAGCAGCCGTGTTTGTGCTGGGAACTGAACCCAGGTATTATGCAAGAGCAGCAGTGCTCTTAACTGCTGAACCATCTCTCCAGCTCCTAGCTCTTTGTTACTGATGTTTTGTTTGTTGAAACATGGTCTCCCTCTTAACCCCAGCTGGCCTTGATCTCACAGATACCTGCTTGTCGCTGCCTCCCAAGCTGGGATTAAAGGCTTGTGTTACTACACCTGGCTCTCTAATTTTTTTTTTTTTTTTTTGGTCTTTTTGAGACAGGGTCTCCCTGTAGCTCCAGCTGTCTTGGAACTCACTATGTAGACCAGGCTGGCCTTGAACTCACAGAGATCCACCTGCCTCTGCCTCCTGAGTGCTGGGATTAAAGGCGTGTACTACCATGCCCGGCCCTAGTTAATTTTTAATGAGAGTTTATTATAGGCTGAGCATCCCTTATCCAAAAGCAAAGTGCTAAGTCTAAAACTTGGTAAGCATTGTGTTTCTCAAAACATTTCATGTTTGAGAGCTTTTAAATTTTTTTATATTAAGTATGCTCCTGATAAAGTCTGTGCAAATATTTAAAATATGGAAAACCTGAAATCAGAAATGTTTAGCATTTCAGATAAGGGAGAGTCAGTTTGTAAGTTTATTAAAGATACAGTTGATACTCTTTGGAACCTTCCCCAATTCCGTCCCCCTTTCTCCTTTCCTCTCTAGTGATAATTGCACTCCTGAAATCTGTGTATGTCCTTCTTTTTCACCATTTTTGTATACCCATAAACTCTAAAAAGCATAGTATGCTTTATTTTTATGTCTTTACAGTTGTGATGATGTATTATCATATATAGTTGAACATAATACATTGGTGGCTTGTGTTCAATGCTGGATCCCCATCATCATCACTATACCCAAGCCTTCTCATGCCCAATGTAAATTATCTTCTGGTAACCTCTTTCCTGCTGTCTGTTCCTTTGCATTACCTATTCCAGTTATATCCCATATCCCCCAAGTTGAATCAAATAGTGTTTGGCCTCTTGTTCCTGGCTATTTTACTAAACACATTGTTTTAAAGGTTTTATCAAGCTGTAGCATGTATCAAAATTCCATTCTGTGAATGAACCATATTTTGGTTATTCATCTGTTGATGGACATGTGTTGTCTCCCCTGTGACTGTTATGACTATTTTTGCTGTGAGCATTGGTTTACAGGTACCTGTTTGACTCAGTGTTTTCACTTCTTTTGTATATATACCTGAAAGTGGAACTGCTGGGCCATATGGTAATTCTGTATTTCTTTTTTATACAACTGTCAACTATTTTCCATTATGACTACCATTTTGTGTAGTATGTTTTAAAATTTTACATGAGTAGCATTTGTACATGTAGTGACTTTTTAAAATTTATTGCTCTTAAAATGCTTATTTGGAATTTTATAAGATGTTTTTCCTTGTAACTAAGACTATTCTAACATTTTGTGAGCTGTCTTCTGCATAATTTGGTGTCAAGGTTATGCTTACTCCATTGAATGGCTTGGGTGGCTCATTTTCCATCTTCTGTTTTTCGAAAAACAGTTGCTGTTTGGGATTTCTAGGAAATTCTAAATGTGGTGGACTTTTTTTTTTTTTAAAGCTTCCAGGCAGTACTTTGAAAAGTATCCAGGAGATCATGAGCTCCTTTGGGAAGTTGAAGGTGTAGGCCATTGGCACCAGCGAACACCAGTCACCAGAGCATTACAGCGAGAAGCACTTAAAATGACAGGTACAATTTTTAGAACATGGGACAGTGTAAAAAGCAGCATCTGATACTGATGGTATCTTACTTCAGAGTAGTGGTGTATTATAATGTGATCTTTTAGTTGCAGATCTTCTTGTCTAAAGTTTGAGTTTTTATTGTTCTTTAACTTTTGACTCATTAATAATAAAAGGACCCAGAGTAGCCCAGCCACTGTAATAGCCCAGTAGGAATTTGGAATGAAAAATAAGATTAATGAAGAAACATAGATTAGGCTTGGGGATCAAAGATAGCTCCTAAATTTGCTCTCTAATATCAGTAAATACTGAAGATAATTATTTAAAACTCTTAATAATTATAAGGATTAATTTTAGTATATGATGGAGACATCTTGTACTTATTTCTTTCTGATAATCAGAGTTTATGAGCACTATTGCAAATAGTGTTAAAATGAAAATCAAATATTACTGGTTTATAATCAAAACTTTTTTCCTACACACAGAGGTTTCTCACCATGAAGCCAAAAGATCTGGGTCTGGGGACTGTGGTCTTGCTACTGTGCCAGAATATGAACCTGGAATGGAAGACAATCAGTCTAGTGAGATGCAGGTATATTGTATATTCTAGTAAAGTTTTTGTGTCTTTAAGACTTTTTTTACCCTGTCTCAAAAAGATTAAAAAAAAAAAAGGGAGATTCCCTTTGTTTGTTATTTATTTATTGTTTTGGAGATAGTACCTAGGGCCTTATGCTTGCTAGGTAAGTGTTCTACCACTGACCTACAACCCCAGTCCTCTTGTTACTTTTTATGTTGAGGTAGGGTCTCACCAAGTTGCTCAGTCTGGCCTTGATTTCATTTGTAGTCTAGACTGGCTTAAATCTGTAAACCACCTGTTTCAGCTTTGTGAATAGCTCACACTATAGGTCTGCACAGCAAGGTTCAGCTTAAGTTTTAGTTATGGTTCAACAACAAATTTAGGGAATTCCAACTGCATTAGTTTTCTTGGTACCATCTGTTTGTAAATTGATTACTAAAGATTTAATGTTTTTTGAAAAAAACTATTGTAATGGTGTTTACAGTATTATAAACTAATAAAGCTAATTTGAGATATATGTAATATAGAAGAAAATCATGACACTGTTACTTAGAGATTTAGCCACTGTTAAATTTTTGTGTATGCACTTAATATTGCATTTGTTTTCTGTCTTAATTGGCAAGAGAGTTGACTATATTTGAGTGAAAAGGTTATTTTTGGTTGTTTTTTTTTTTTTTTTTTCGTTTTTTTTGTTTTTTTCGGTCTTTTTGAGGCAGGGTCTCCCTGTAGTGCCAGCTGGCCTGGAACTCACTATGTAGACCACGTTGGCCTTGAACTCACAGAGATCTGCCTGCTTCTGCCTCCCAAGTGCTGGGACTACAGGCGTGCGCCACCACACCTGGCCCAAGTGAAAAGTTTTTATACTTTCATAAGGATAACATAAAAACTACATATAAAGAGTTTTTTTACTTCATTTTTTCTGCATTTAAGAACTTCCTAATAATCTTGTTTTTATGTCATGATCTCCTCAAGTAAGCACCCATTCATTTACAATTTGCCAGATTTCATAAAATCAAGGAAACTAGACATTTTACTCTTCCCATAAATGCAGTGAAGGCAATAGTTTAATATCAAGCCAAATAATTTTACATGTCATTTGAATGCATATAAATTATAGTGACACTATGTCATAAGGTTAACAGCATAAATTACATTTTCTGTCATTTTAGGAATTCATATTCTTCATACTACTTTAATGTATGTTTGTTTGAGACAGGGTCTCACTGTGTAAGCCTGACTATCTTGGAACTCATTATGTAGACCAGTCTGGCCATGAACTCACAGAAATACGCCTACCTCTGCCTTCTGAGTGCTGGAACTAAAGGTGTGTACCACCATGCCCAGCCTCTACTTTAATGTTTTATTTAGTTAAAGAAAATATTTTTCCTCGTTATTTTCTATTTTATATATCTTTATCTATAACCACATATGTAGCAGTTTGATTTTGACTGTGTGATTCATTCTTTAGGTAATGATAGTATTTTGTTTACTTTTATTTATTTATGTAATAAAACATTAAATGCATTTCTTTGAACCTTTTATTCATCTTTGTTTTCTAATTGAACTGCCAGCTTCTTGAAGGCAGATTTTTATTACACATCTGTCACAGTTACTCCTTGATATTCTATAGATTTTAAAAAATATTATTTTTATTTTTGTGTGTATGAGTGTATTGCCTGCATGATTATAAGTATACCTCTGTCATGCAATGTCTGCAGTAAGAAGAGGGTGTTGGATCTCATGGAACTGGAGTTACAGACAGTTGTTAGCTGCCATGTGTGTGCTGGGAATCAAGCTCAGGTCCTCTGCAAGAGCATCCAGTGCTTTTAACCACTGAGCCATCTCTCCAGACCCTATAGATTTTTTAAAATATCATTTAACACATAATATTTGTACTCCATTCATTATGTATAGTGAATGCATACAATATGTAATGATCACATCAGGATATTTGGCATACTTCATCACCTGTAAACATTTGTCATAGCCAGGTATGGTGGCACATGTCTTTAATCCCCATACTCAGAAGGTAGAGGCAGGCAGATCTCTGTAATACTGAGGTCAGCCTGGTCTACATAGTGAGTTCCAGGCCAGTTCCGGCTACAAGGAGACCCTGTCTCAAAAAACAACAACAAAAAATTAGTCATTTCTTTGTATTGACAACTTTCATATTCACATAGCTCTACTAGCTGTTTTGAAATACAGATTAATTATTATTAACTCTAAATAGATTTTTTTGATGTTTGTGTACCTATCATATTTTAGTTCAGTAAGCGTGTGATGGATGTATGAGTAGATGTTGGTGTCTAGTGGAGTAGGTACTGTAGCAAGCAGCAGACACAAAGGTGTGGTTCTTATAAGCATAGGAGAACTAGATGGTCCATTGTTGGAAGCAGATAAATAAGTATACTATAGGATATTAATGCCCTTAATTTTTAAATTTTTTTTGTCTTTTTTGGGGGACAGGGTCTCCCTGTAGCCCTGCTGGCCTGGAACTCACTATGTAGATCAGGCTGGCCTTGAACTCACAGAGATCCACCTGCCTCTGCCTCCCGATTAGGATTAAAGGTGTGTGCCACCATGCCCAACATTAATGCCCTTAATTATTATAGCAAATGATTGAAGGTACATAGCACAAGGATAACTTAAATGGCAGGTGGAAGTTCTGTGACAACAATTTTTAGAGCATTTCAGAATGTAATAGCATTTAAATGAAACAACACAAGAGGTATTTAAGAAATAGCATGTTTAATATGAAAGCGATTCATTATATAAAAGCTTCCCAGTTTATATTTTATAGTACAAATAGTATGTAGTGATGAACTATTCATTAAAAATTTTAAGCCGCCAGGCATGGTGGGGTATGCCTTTAGTCCCAGCACTTGGGAGGCAGAGACAGGCAGATCTCTGTGAGTTCAGGGCCAGCCTGGTCTACATAGTGAGTGTCAGGCCAGCCGGGGCTACAGGGAGACCCTGGCTCAAAAAGACAAAAAAAAAGAAAAAAAAAAAACAATTTTTAAAAAATTTTTTAAGCAGAAGAATTGCACAGTTTGTGACTAGGGAATGTTATTCTCTCATCAGGTAGAAGGCATTGGACAGGATTTGATTAACAAAGGAGACACTATACCAGTGAGGAAGCTGTTGGAATAGTCCAAATTAAAGATAGTAAAGGTCTAGACTAAACCAGTGGTGATAGAAAGGACAGGGTAGTTTTGAGAGGTTCTTTATTTAAAATTGGCAAGTTTTGTGATTGGTTGAGGGATAGGAAGGAATCATTACTGCCTCATAGATTTTGGCCAGAATGACTGAATTGTTGCTGACGTTAACTCAGATAAAGACTGGTGTTGGGGATTCATCTTGAGATAGGCTTAATGTGAAATCAGATGGGCTATTTGTTAGGGGATACTTGTTTGGAAATAGAGCTTTGGAAATGATAAAAGTTGGGAAACATTCATTCATCAGCAAAAGGTTAATCAGCTATAGTTTAATTGAAGATCACATGTAAAAAAAAGTCAGGAGAGCAGGTAGCTATGGACAGAATACCAAGATACTCCAAGGTAAACCTATAATATTATAGATGCTTACATAAGTTCTTAGGCTTATAAAACAAAAAACAAAGCTATGGGCTGGAGAGATAGCTCAGTGGTTAAGAGCACTGACTGCTCTTGCAGAGGACCCAGGTTCAATTTCTACCACACACATGGCAGCTAACAACTATCCTTAACTATAGATCCAGGGGATCCGACACCCTCTTCTGACCGCAAGCATTACACAATGTGGGTGCACTTACATACATACAAGCAATACACTCGTATACATAAAATGAAAATAACAATTTTTTAAAAAAGGTTGTAACATAGCCTTTTCATTTTGAAGGTAGATTTCTTAACAAAAAACACTATTTGAAAACATTTTTTTTCTTTGAAACTGAATGAAATAGGTCCATAGAGAAAAAAAAATAGCTTAAAATATTAGATTTTATGGGGCTGGAGAGACCGATCTATTCTGTTAACAATATTTTCTGAGGATTTGGAATCTGTGGGGCTGGAGATGGCTCAGCAGTTAAAAGAAATGGCTGCACTTGCAGAAAGAAGACTTGGATTCAGTTTTCAGCACCCACATAGCAGCTAACAACTGTCTGTAACTCCAGTTCCAGGGGATCCGACGGCCTCTTCTGTCCTCCTCCAGCATTGCACAACATGGGTGCACTTACATAGCACTTATCTACATGCAGGCAATACCTGCATACACATAAAATAAAAATAATTTTTTTTAAAGTTAAAAAAAATATTAGATTTTAATCTATATCTCTCTTTTAGATTGATTCCCTAAAAGATGCCTTTGCCAGCACTTCTGAAGGTAAGAAATTCAGCTGCTCCTTCAGTGTTTTAGCTCTGGACTTTAATGCTACTACTGCCCCTGATTTTGCTGTGTAAGAGCAAAACTGCTTTGAAACTCCCTCCCCTTCTTATTCCTTACCTGTAATGTAGAGATGGTAATGTCTCCATTATTTTCCCAAATCATTGAGACAGAACATGAGTGAAAATTCAGAAACACTTTGCAAAGGTCAGAACAACATGGAACTACAAGGAGTATATATTGACAGTTATTTTATAATTAAAAGAAGCACTAAAGTTTTCTTAGCTTAATCTGAAGGAAGGAGCAAATCTCTGTAGAGGTGGGGATATGTGTAGACTCGTGTCATTCTTGCATTTCTATGCATTTTAATAGGTAATCCTTTCTATACATAATTAAGTGCAGTTTCATGCTTTTTCTTTCAGGTCCTGAAAAGACACCTGTTTCCACTCGTACCCGAAGTAGTCATCTCAAGCGACCAAAGATTGGAAAGCGGTTTCAGGATTCTGAATTTAGCAGTCCTCAGGGTGAAGATGAAAACACTGCCCAGACTTTATCTGTTGCTTCCGTAAACAAGTAAGGATAGCATTATTCGTTTTGCTCACATTATTTTATTTATAGTTGCTTTCATACTATTGGTATCTAGTATTAAGGGCAGAGGCTGCATATTGTTGTGTAGCAGAATATCCTTGCTGAGAGGTTTGTTTTCAGGTTCTGCTGCAAGATTATTGATTAGGCTTTCCAGGAGTGTTACCTAATCGATGTTATAGGGAGCAGTAACTAGTAATAAACTTACTATTGATTCTTCCATGTGTGTAAATCTAGAATTTTCTAGTCATATATTATCTCAAGTCACTATCACCAACTTTGAATTTGACAGTATGTTTTAGATGAATGCTTCCTCAGATTTTATGAAGAACAAGTATCTTTGCCTTTGGGGAATTGACTACGTATTAGTAAAGACCAATATGTATGTAGTTAAAATCACTACGGGGTGGATCATGGTGGAACTATAAGGGTAAGCAGAATGTTGTAGAGGCCCAGGAGACACGGATTATGTCTAATTGAGTGAATGAGGATTTGGGGCCAGGGCTTCAAAGATAATAGAACTTTATAAGCCTAATTAGAAGACTTTCTAGTTTCAAGACCCACCAACTATGGATTACAGTGTAAATCTGTCTTGTCACTTATTTTTATTTTTTTAGGGGGTAGTGGGTTCTAGAGATTGAACCCAGGACCTCACATGCTGAGCTATTTGTCCTGTTCTTATAAATAAAGTTTTACTGTAAGACATCCATGTTCATTAGGTTTATGGAGGATGGTTTTCTCCTTCATGTTTTTTATTTATTCATAGGCAATTACTTGTCTTCTGGTTTGTGAAAGTAGTAAGTTAGACAACATGATACAGTAATGTCTGTCAAAGTGGCTGGCCACAAAAACTCTAGTACCATATTCATCTGATGGGTACTCTCTCTGAAGAGGACTGATTTTACTATTTTCATCCTTAGAGTATTTCTGGACAGCCAACTTGACCTTCTTCCTTCTTTTTTGGAGGGCTGTATGACTGCTTCTTCCTTAGCATCACCATGAAATGTCAACACAAAGAATGGGCTTCTTTTGAATATTATAGTCAAAGTGTGCCCTTCCAGTTGCTTACCAACAAAAGTCAAGACTTTGCTTATGAGAAGGAATTCCTTCCTTATTCTGGATCTTGCCCTTTACATTTTTATAGTAGCCACAGGCTCAACCTTGAAAGTGATAGTCCTCCCCATAAAGATTTTTAGGAAATCTGCATCTTGGAGGCTGTCCATTGCAGATGCCAAATCAGAAAGGGCAGGTTTATATATTTTTATTATGGTTGATTTTGCATTATGATGGCAGGGCTAAGTAGTTGAAATAGAGGCTATATGGCCCCTAAAGCCTAAAGGAAAAGTTGTTGACTTCTGATTTTCCAATAGAACATTCTCTTGTGATGGAGATCTTCAGCCTATGCCCAGTTAGCATACCCCCTGAGGACTTGACATGTGGCTGGGGCATCTGAAGAGCTGAAATTTTTCTATTTCACTTAATTTAAAATAATTGAAAAGTAAAATAGTAATTTGTGTTTTATGGTTACTTTATTAGTCCAAGTCTAGATTAAAAGAATAGCATGAGCAAAGGCATAAAGCTAGAAAGAATGTTGAGAACAGCTGATACATAAGGTAAGTGGAAGTATGTATGTGGTAGGAAATAAAATAGGAGTTTAGCTTCTTAGGCCTAGTGAGGTGGTATACTTTCCTCAGTTTATTGATGATGTGTGTACTAAAAGGACAACTCGAAAGCTCTGATAGAGAATGTGCTGTGATTAAGCTGAGTGGGGAATAAGTTATGCTCATCCAAAGAGAACTGGGGCCTGAAACAGAGCTGTGAAAATGGGAATCAAAAGTTAGAGATATATTTGAATAGCATTTTGAAGTTAGCACTATACCATTATAATTTCTTACCCATGTTGATGTTTTCGAGAATGAGAAGGGTGTTATTAATCCTTATGCCAGGGCTAGGAGTGTAGTTCAGTGGTAGAATAACTGCTTAGCATGGGGACCCTGGGTTGGATCCTCAGCACCAGAAAAATAATTATGCCAGTATCCATAATTATGGACAAAAGCTGTACACTGACACAATTGCATGTAAACTGGGATCTATGTTCATTCCAGTAGAATATATTACGGTAAGTTACAAGTCAAATAAAAGGTCTAGTTAAGTTTTTAATTGAACTAAACAAGGCAAGAAAAAAAAATTATCAGAGAATGAAAAGATTGGTTTTGGACTTATACAATCTAATGTTGGCTGAATGACATTTATTTCTCTAAAATGTTATTTTTTTTAATCTTTTTGAGACCAGGTCTCCCTGTAGCCCCAGCTGGCCTAGAACTCACTATGTAGGCCAGGCTGGCCTTGATCTCACAGATATTGCCTGCCCCTGCCTCCCAAGAGCTGGGATTAAAGGTGTGTGCCACCACACCCAGCTAAATGTTACTTTCTTAAGAAAGGAGTCTCCTAGGGGCTGAAGAGATGACTCAGCGGTTAAGAACACTGGTTTTTCTTGCAGAAGACCCGGGTTTGAATCCTATCACCCATGTGGCACCTAACAACTCCAGTTCCAGGGGATCTGACGGCCTCCAGCATTGCATGACTCGGGTGCATTTACCTACATGCAGGCAATACACTCATATACATAAAATAAAAATAATAAATAAAATACTTATTTTAAAAAAAAGGATTCTAGGAAGCTGAGGCAGGGGAATTTCAAGTGAATTCCAGGCCGTCTGGGGGCAACTTAACTTAGTAAGACCCTTTCTCAAGAGGTTGTACACTGAGTGCTTGCCTACCATGCAAGAGGCCAGGAGTTCACTTACCAGTACTGCTTCAAAAAAGGAATTCTTGAAATTTTATTTTGATCCTTAATAGAAAAAATAAGAATGGTGTTCATTTATGTTCTAGATTAGAGTTTACTGCACGCACATCAGAGAGCTCAGAAGAATTCCCAGAAGAAGAGCCTGAGCAGAGAGCTGAATTTGAAGATGAAAGCAGTGATAAAGATATTCAGCCTTCACCAGAAACTCAGCCTCGCCTGGAGAAACAAGATGGTGGAAAAGTATGAAGTCACTAATTAAATAAAACAAATTTAACTAAATGACAACTTTCTTAATCACATACTACTGGAAAAATATGACATTTTTAGGAAGTGTAGGAATTTTTTTTGTTTGTTTGGGTTGTTTTGTTTTGTTTTTGCCTTTTTTTTTTTTTTTGGTTTTTTTGAGACAGGGTCTCCCTGTAGCCCCAGCTGACCTTGAACTTGCTATGTAGACCAGGCTGGCCTCGAACTCACAGAGATGTGCCTGCCTCTGCCTCCCAAGTGCTAGGATTAAAGGCGTGTGCCACCATACCTGGCTTGTTTTTGCCTTTTTGAGATAAGGGTCTCCCTGTAGCTCCAGCTGGCCTGGAACTTGCTATACAGACCAGACTGGCTTCTGGCTTCTGGCTTCAATTTGACAGAGATCCACTTGCCTTTACCTCCTGAGTGCTGGGATTAATGTATATATTGCTGCCATCATCAATGTATATATTGTCTTGGATATAGTTTAGTGGTAGAGAGCACTTGCCTAACAAGTGCAAATAGTAAGATCCTTCAGTCCATTTTGAATGTGTGGACTTAAACACACTTAAGAAGTATACAAATAATATGAACTCTTAGAAACTGGATGTCTTCAGGTCCAGTCAGACCTCAAGTTGTGCCCCTAATTTTGTTAAAAAAATAAAGTAGTTACTCAGATTTTTTTTTCAGCTGCTTTTATAAATACTTGGAAAAATTAAACTATTTTAAAAAATAGGCAGGTCCTCTGTAACTCTGGAAGCTGATCTTGCTTCCTTCTTGCAGCTCTTTAAATATTTTTTCCTTCCTCGTTTTCCTCCTCTACATATTTCCTGTCCTTTCTTTTTGATGTATTCAGTCCTTTCTATTTTATGCATTCCCTATTTCTCTTCATATGTACTTGAGTTTCTTGAAAAGTCTTTCACCTGTTTTCCTAGCATGTGAATAGCTATATTACCAACTTTCTTAAATCACTACAATATAGCTTCTGCTCCTGCTGCTTTATGAAACGTTTTAGCGGCACTGGAGAGAAGGCTCAGTAGTTTAGAGCACTGGCTGTTCTTGCACAGGACCCAGGTTCAATTAGCCACATGGTGGCTAGCAACCACACATAACTCCAGTTCCAAGGGATCCAGCACTCTCTTCTGACCTCCTCGGGCATTGCGTGACACGGGTACACTTATACATTTTCACTTATACACACAAAAAATAAACTATTTAAAATGCCATTATTTTAAATTTGGAAAATAAAAGCACATATTTTCAAGAAAAAAATAAGTGATTATAGAAATACATATATTTTCTCTTTTAAACTAAAATTATAACCTGCTTCATCTGGTGAGACACTGAGCATATGTTCTTGTAGGACACTGGTGATGGCTCCATTGTAATTCTGATCAGGCTTCCCTTACCTGGGGGCACTATTTTATCCTTCTCAAGCTCTCTAGTCTCCTGGCTTTATAACATTTTAATCTTTGAAGCTTTTTGTTGTTTTGTGCCAGTGTGTGTGTGCCTACATGCACAGGAATGCTTAACTCTTCTCCCTGCATTTTTCTCCTTATTGTGTACATTCTAGGAAACTCAGTGTTTTACCTTCTAATCTTTGGTTCATGGCCTGTTTTTTGAAAATGCATCGAATCTAATGACTTCAACTTGATAGGAATGGTTAGTAAATCTAGATATTCTTTTGTGTGGGGTGTGTGTTCGTATGTGTGTTTCTGTGTGTGGTTGGTACATGCACAGGAGTGTGGGGTGTATGTATTCATGTGCCTATATGCATAGGCCAGAGCAGGATGTTGGATGTCTTCCTCTAGAGCTGTCTGCCTCATTGCCTTGAGACAGGGTCTTTCACTGAAGTGAAGCTTCTCATTTGACTGTCTGGCCGGGCTGGCTGACCAATGAGCTCTTTGTATCCATTTGTCTCTGGCCCCTAATGCTGGTGGTTCCAGGCACAAATGCCATGCCCAGCTTTTATGTAGGTAGCTGGGGCTTTGAATTCAGGTCCTAATCTTGCATAGTAAGTCCTACCCACTAAGCCATCTCCCCAGCCCCAAATCTGGATTTTCAATCTTGATCCTTACTCTAGTTCTACAGTGTCACTTGCCTAAAGCGTTTTGTTTAAAGCGTATTTGTTTATTGTCTTCTTAAATCCAACAAAATTTCTATTATTTTTTAATGTATTTTTAATTATGTGTATTGTGGGATGTCTGTGTGTCCGGGTGTCATGTGAGTGCAGGTACCCACAGAGGCCAGAAAGGGGCATTGGATACCCTGGAGCTGGAATGACAGGTGATTGTGGGCCACCAGCTTGGAACTTAACTTGGGTCCTCTGCAAGAGCACTATATGCTCTTAATCACTGAGCCATCTCTCCAACCCTCTGTTCTTTATTATTTCTATGTTGAGTCTGCTTTTCTGTTCTGTTTATTCTATTCTCAAGTATAAATCTTGAAGGATTGACCTTTGTTCTTTCATTGCTTCTGTTACCACAATTCTGTCATTCGCTAGTGCATCTTTCTCATTTTCTTGCTTTTAATATTTCTCATACTCTGCTTAGTCTTTTAATAAGTATACTGTAATTAACTTTTGTGTGCAACTGACTCTGTAAACCACCTGGTATAAAACTACATTATTTTTAGTGCAACCATGTCATGCAGAGGCCAGAAGAGGGCATGTGATTCCGTGGGAGCTGAACCCATGGCCTCTGCGAGAGCAGCTAGTGTTCTTAACCCATGAACCATCTCTCCAGCTCCATAAAAATATGTATTGACATAAGAAAATGTTTTGCTTTTATTTGTGAGATAGCCTCCTTTTAATAATCCAGGCCAGCCTTACTTAGACTTGCAGTGTAGTTTAGACTATCCTCAGACTTGCAGTCCTCCTGGGATTATAGTCATGTACCACAAAGCCCAGTTTGAAAAAAATTTTATTTTAGAAAAATTTTACTTTGGAAAAGTGTAAAAGTCTCTAATTTTAACATCTCTTTTGGACAGCTTTCCTTTATATGCTTTCAGGAGTCCTGTATTGGATCTATTTTTGAACAGTCAAGTTCATAAATTTTCTAATTTTTTAAATACTAATAAAATGCCTTTTGGTTAGTAGACTATCATAAGGAATTAGAGCTATTTAGCATTAAGTAATGAAATTGATAAATATTGGAGGAAAATACAGAAACTAGAGGATTTGTGTCATCAGATCCCCTTTCTGTATTTTAATAATATGGAACAGTTGATTGTTCAGAAATGACCCTGGGTTGACTGATAGTGATCTGAGGTGGGGGCTTCTTTCTAACAGTAAGCAGCAACCAGACCTAGCTTCCCACAGGACTTGTAGTACTTCCTCTTTTTGGCAGGTTAACTCTATCTTCTCATAAGCCCATTTCCAGGTGCTGAACAGCTGATGGTGTTTCAAGTCTAAACTCCCGTCTGGTACCTTTTTACTTATAGGGTTCATATTATGATAGTAAGGGGCAGTCTTTTTCACTGAATCTCGGACCCACATTGTACAATCCCTGGCATCATGGTCTTGCCCCATCACCAAAGAACAGTAGGAGTGTGGGTCCTTGAGGATTCTTAACTTTGCTGATGCTGCCTACTACCCCTCTCCTCCAGCAAGGCAATTTTTAAGCTCATAACATTCTAAATCCATTGTGTCCTGGTAGATGACAAAGACTGAAAATGGACCCATCTTGCACAACCAATAAATCATATCCTGACTTTTCCTTCTTGGTATAGGACTCTGAATTGGAGCCTGTGAATGGTGAGGTAGTGAATGATACTCTTAAGACTTCACTTATAACTGAACTGGAAGACTCTGCCAGTGAAGGTTTAGAAGAACAAATGAAAGCGCAATCTGTTAATTCCAGTGAAGACAATGTCAATCTTGTCCCACTAGTAGCAGAACCTTCAAAAACCCCTGAGGCTACACCTAAGGTAAGGCAAAAATACCTCACTTTTTGATAAAAGTTTGCCAGTATTGGGGCCATTGAGGGGTAGAGGATACACTGTATTTTCCTCTAACATGTATCGCTGTTGAGAAAAAATTTTATTCTAGACATAAAATAAGTAGTAACAGTCCATAAAATTCAAATCTTTTTAACTTTTCATTATTTGCCTTACAGAGTTCAGTTCCAACTGCCACCTCCCTCCAATTATATCTGCCTGATAACAAAATGAGCTTTATTTTGTAGACTTGGGAAAAGGATTAAAAAATGGATAAAACATGATTAAATATTTGAGCACTTTTTACTTGAGTGTATTGCTTGCATGTAGGTAGGGGCACCAGTGTCGTGCCCATGGAGGTCAGAAGAGGGCATCAGATCCCCTTGGAACTGAAGTTATGGATGGTTTTCAGCTACCATGTGGGTGCTGGGAATCAAACCTGGGTCTTCTGCAAGAGCAGCTAGTGCTCTTATACCTCTGAGCCATCTCTCCAGCCCTAATTTGGTTTTGAATATTCCAACTTAAGGTTAAAAGACTATAGTATTGTTTTATTGTCTTACCTAAATTGGTGAATAAAACATCCATTGTCCTTACCTTTTGTCTAATGAAACAGTCAGACTTAGTGAGACAGTGTTACATCCCAAGAGATTCTTTGTTCTGGCTCCAGTAACACCAGGAAACTAAAAATTTAGAGGTGATTCCTGGTTTGGAAAGAATACTTGAAATTTAAAGTGTCTCAGTATTCTTTAAGACAAAATGATTTCTTAGAAGAATTTGTTGTGGGGGGCTCAGCAGTTAAGAGCACCAGCTGTTCTTGCTGAAGACCCAAGTTTGGTTCCCAGCATCCACACTGCAGTTAACAACCATCTGTAACTCCAGTTCCAGGGAATCTCATGCCCTCTTCTGACCTCCATGGGCACTGTACAACATAGGTGCACTTATATATGTGAGCATTACACTAATACACATAAAAATATTTTTAAGATTTTGTTGTATTAAAACTACCATGAGACACTTTTGAAGAAATTGAGTTGGAGTCAGAATATGTACTCATGTGTAACAAAAACAGTGAGTACTAAAGTCTTTGAATTGTAGTTTAGTGATATTCTTAGAATAATTCTTTTTGGAACTATATTGTAAAAGACTGAGTTTTTTTGTTTTTCTTCAGATCCCACATGTAACTGACTCCGAAATGCCAGACCAAGGCCCATCTGATGATAAAGGACACAATGAAGAAAAGCTGTCCCTAGTTTCAAAAAAGAAAGTACATTCTGGGAGCTCAGACAATGCTGCCATTGTCACAAATGAAGAAAGATCTGACAGTGCTTTTCCAAACTCTCTGGTAGCAGAATTTCCTGAAGAACCAGTCTCTGAGAATTTATCACCCAATACTACTTCCTCACTGGAAGATCAGAGTGAGGAGGGGGTACCCGAGCCCCAGGAAACACCTGCTGCTCTTCCTCAGAGTCCTCTGATAGAGGTGGAACTTGAAGATGTGCCATTTTCACAGAATGCAGGACAGAAGAACCAGTCAGAGGAGCAGTCTGAAGCATCTTCTGAGCAACTAGATCAGTTTACACAGTCAGCAGAGAAAGCTGTGGATAGCAGCTCAGAGGAGATAGAAGTGGAAGTGCCTGTGGTAGACAGGCGGAATTTAAGAAGAAAGGCCAAAGGGCATAAAGGACCTGCCAAGAAGAAAGCCAAGCTGACATGAACGAAGAATGTGTATGATAAATCCTCTTCTTTGTAACATAGGTGTTTTTTAAACATGGTAATTAATAAACAGCATGGGGCACAGGACAAATTCCAGTTTGAACTTATTTACAGTGCAGGTTTTCTCTTTAGGAACTAGGGTTCGCCATTCTTTTTAATTTTTCAGGCTATTTTCCGTAAGTAATAATACCTTATTTTTATGAACCACGTTTCAATTTTGGGAATCGAGGTTCAATTATATTTTTCTTTAGCAGGTAGAACATCTAACCATTAAAATTTTAAATAGAAATTTTAAAACTCCAAAAGTAGTAGGCTTTCAATGCTTGCAAGGACCACAGAAATCTTTTCTACTAAGGGTTTTAATAGTCAAACTTGGTGAGGATTCTAGAAGTTTTCTTAGGTATCAAAACTGATTGCCATTTTTTAAAATGTATGCATACCTAAACAAAAATAAGTATCAGTAAATATTACAAGTAATGAGAGCACAAAAACAGAATTTTATGGTCAGTGGTTTATGAAGATTATTTTGGTTTCTACCTCTTAATGTTAGTCGTAGATGCAGGCTCTTCATCTGTGGGAAAGGACACACACAGTCTAGATTTCTGACTCTGATCTGATATTAACAGTAGTGTTGAGGATTTAACTGGCACTGGGCACATAATTTAAAATTCCACGTGAATTATTAGTTTGCTGCAATTTTTATAATTCACTGTATAATCATAGATGCTGGCAAGCTTAAGGGGTACACTTTCATCTTTAATCTGGTAAACATCCCAAGTAATGGAATTCAGAATATACTAATTTGGACTGTGTTCTTGATCACATATACACTTTTATTCCTACTCAGTATCTATATTGCAGAAGTTAGGCCCCTTCATAAGCCTCCTTAATCCCTCCAGTGCTGAAGTGTTTTACTTCCCTCTAGCTTTCATCTGCCCCTCTCCAACTCACCATCATTCTCCTTTTAAGAAAAGACCTGCCATCTAACTTGCCAGTTTATGCCCTTGTGTTCATTTTGGAGTAGGTTTAGAACTGTACTCTGCCATCTTTAGATGCTGTATGAAATGTCATGTAAGAACTTAAGTCTGATGGTTTCAGGTGTCCGTTTGGTCTGTATACTCTAGATGTATTCTCAGACTATTGGTTGCAAGCTAGCCTCATACTTTGTGGCCATCATACACACATTTGTTTGCCTAGGAAAATGTGGAGAGGGGGAAAAAATCCTAAACTGTTCATTGTCTGTATTAGTTTGTTTTAAAATGAACAAAATGGTTGTTATTAGAATCCAAAGAGAATCTCAAAGCCAGTCCTACTTCGGAAATATTCTCTGCATTTTGATTTGTACTTGAGACTGTTCTGAGACTACTTAGATTTGTTTTTGAAACTGTTTTGAACCTTACGAGAAAGAACTATGGATTTATGTTGTTTAAAGTCTTCAGCCAGGTGGTCTGTGATGTCATGTCATTACATTTTATTTGGTGAGACTGGTATTTTAGAAAAACCTAATTTGTTAAAATCTTTAAGCAGATAAAACAGTAAACCCTCCTATGAGATTAAAACTCACAATTCCCTTGAATTTTGGGTCAAAAGAAGTTAGATTATTTCATCCTAAGTAAAAATGAAAGCACATTGACTACTGTCCTCAAAAAAAAAAAAATGCTGTTAATAAGTGAAAGGATATATAGGATTAATTCTGGTGAAGTTGCCAGATGTTGATGTTGTTAATAACACAAGGAAGGAACTAACTGAAGATTCTATTAAGATTCAGAAAATCAAATTACCCTTTTCACTTAGTATACATTTAAAATCTTTTAGGTATTTTGCCTTTTAACTTTTTTATTTTTTTCTAATTTTATGTGTGTGTGTGTGCATTGCCTGCATGTAGGTAAGTGCCCATTTTGCTCTTTTTTAGGAGTAGCTTATTTACGTTCTTTTTAAATTACATTCTTTAAATGAGTTTTTAATTGAAAAGACGGCACTCAGTGGCAGCTCAAGATGTGAATAGTCTTTTGAGTTAAAGTATTACTGAGGATTAACAGTATAAACTTATACTTATTAAACTTGTTTGGTGTACACAGGAATTTTAAGTAATTTCAAAACATTTTGTTCAGCACAAAAGAAAACTCATTACTTATTGTCTGTGACAGAAGTTATTTTTGGATTTTTAGATCATAGAGGAAAACAAACTAGGTCACACAGAAAAATCCAACTTTCATATTCGGTAACATAAGTTGATCACATAAATTTTCTAACAAAATTTATCCTTAGTTGGTATCCAAATAAACCTAATCAGATAGTTTTTGTAAGGCATTAGAAAAGCATTCAGGATCAGAGGACTGCAGTGATTCCAACCAACTTGCTGTTCTAATTCAATCACATTCTACATAGTCCTTTGTGAACAAGTATTTTCTGTCTAGGAGTCATGTCTGTGGAGGAGGCAGCTCACTTCTTGTGTATATACCTGTATATTTTCTTATGTAATATAAAGCAGGTGGTAATTAGCAAAGTTTTAGTTCTACTACCAAGTTAATTACTAAACCTCACAAAAATTAAGAATTTTATTGTAAAGCTCCTTCACAACTTTTAAAGATGAAAGAGGTTCTGTCATAATTTTTTATGAAATCAAGTAGCATGACTTAGAATATCATCAGTCTTCTATTTAAAGATGTCATGTTTTCATTGGTTCAGACAAAAGTGAAGAGAATACCATCTACCCATTAATTGTGTACTTTTAACAGAGTACCAGAATGTCACCAAAAATGGTTTGTGACTTGAGTAATATACCCTGAAAGTTCATGATCACATCAAATTAAGCCTCTTCTACCAACTACTGTGTGCTTCTATGTTCTTTTTCCTTTGGGATTACCGTCTAAGGTTTGGTCACACCAGCAAACTGAAACAGATTTTAATGTAAATAAAGAAGTTTACTAACATTATTCATCTATGTAACAGTATTTTAGAAAGGAGTTTCTGACTTTTATGTCCACTAGTAGCAAGCAATATGGTGTTTCTGGTGTGATCCAGTCTTTAATGTGTGGTTTGTTAAAGGCATCATGCTTGTTTTCATACTTAGTATGAAGCTTTTTTGGCACAAGATAGTTTTCTTTTTAGTTGTAAAAAATAAGCAGACATATTTCAGTACCCACTGGCTAATTGAAGTCAGAAATTTTCCTTTCACCGTCTGTAACTAAAGCTAATAAAACCATACATTAGCCATTTTTATCCCTAGTGGCAAAATGTTAAGATCTAATTGTAAGAAAGGTTCAGTTTTTTCTGAAATTATTGTATTGGATGGTCATTCCCAAGGAACCAACCTCCCTCTTCCTAAGTATCTACATGTGTTCTAAAACTTCCATTGTTTATAAAACCTAGGAAAAAATGTTAAAGTATTCAGAGTATCCAGTCTTTACTAAAGAACCCAAGGTTTGTTTACTTGGTAGTTTTTTTTTTAAACATTTAAAAGTAGTAATTAAACCTCTATTTTGTGACTGTTTTCTGATCTGTTTTAAATTCTTTTCTTCCAATTTCATTCCAATACTGTGTTAGACATTGAATGATTCTGTTAAAGGCACAACTAATCACATTGACTGTAGTTTGAAGACAGACTTAAAAAAAAAATAAACAATTTAAAGCAATGTGGTGATTATAGATTAATGTAATATACTGACATTTTCTAAAGCTCAAAGCCATGACTATATGATCCATTATCACAAAAGAGCTTTAAGTTACAACTCCCAAATATGACCTTTTAATCTAAGTAACTGCAAATTTCTCTTCAGAGCACTGGTGCAGATTCTAGAATTATGTAAACCAATTTTTTTATGTCATTATGAAAGTGCAAATGTACTCTTCTATATTTACAACATAGGAAAAGCTAAATATATTTGAGTTCACTGACACTGCAGAAAGGATTAATTACAAGTGAAAAAATGTTAAAGAGTGCTGAAATTTCAGTCTAACATACTTTCTCTCAGATACTTTTAGTGTACATTATAAACTTGTAGCATGTTAATGCTACATTTTTTTAGGATTAATGGCAGTGAGGTGGAAAATATTTCAGCAAATTTCGTAGCCTACCCTGGAATTGTGCATTAACCTTTACGAGTATGTTCAACTACTACTGGTAGTTTTTCCAGTGATGACAGATTTGTATTCTGCATACTCACTTTTGGGTGCACATACCTCCATTTGTATGTTTGCTTTTCAGTCACTCAATTTTGTTAACGTAGAAGCCCTTTAGATCCCAAAGTAAATACTAATTTATAAAACTTGGCCATTTGAATTTTTTGGAAACAATTTAATAAATACTTCTCTTGATGACTGCACATATGAAAGGCTGCTTGGTAGTCTGAGATATCACAGCAGTGGTTGTTTTCCTGACTGGTTTGTAGTCTTCAATAATGATGAAGAGTGACATATATGAAACTGCTGTCAAACCAGTAAGACTGCATTTATGCACCCATCATTTTCAGGATTGTTGGTAACCTGGGCATACTTTCCTAAGGAAAACAAAACCCAGAAGAAAGGGAGAATGTTAGTCAGCAAAAATTTATTTTAAAGAATATGACTTTTGTCTAAAATATTTCTAATTATCACTTTTAATAAATGAATAGGATACATTATAAACTTGAATAATTCAAGATCAAGTAGTGTTCTAAATACAAGTTTATTAAGTAAAAACAATGTTCAAAAATGGTAGTCAGGTCCATTTTGTTAGTCTCTACTTTTCCACAATGACTTATTGACAAACATTGTGCTTTAAATGAATTTCAGATCAATTTAACTTTATAAAATTACTATATTCTTTTTTTGTAAACAGCACCCAAGTTTAAGAATAATATGGGCAGTAAAGGCAGAAACTAAACCAAATAAGCGAAGAATTTAAAATTGCTATATAAAAATTTAGAGTTTTAATTATTAAAATAGCATGGTTATATTTGATATAAATATAACCCTTCTCTAGCTTATGGTAAAATTGACTGTATTTCTCCCAATGTTGTTTATTTATATAATCAAAACTACTATATCTGCTTCTTATAAAAAAATTATTAAAAGGTAAAATTAAATCTAGCAGAACAGTGTACCTTATGTAACTGAAACTAATAAACTAAGAAGGATCACATTAATAATTTCCTATAAAGTATTCTTCCCTGAAGATTGACATTTGGAGACTGGAGAGATGGCTCAGCAGTTAAGAGCACTGGCTGCTCTTGCAGGACCTGGGTTCAGTTCCCAACACCCACATGGAGGCTAACTACCCTCTGAAACTCCCATCCCAGGAGATCGGATGTGGATCTCCTGGCCTCTACAGGCATTACATGTACTGCATACATGTGGTGCACTTAATGTGCATGCAGGCATAACACTCATATTTTTCTCTTTTTTTTTGGTCTTTTTGAGACAGGGTCTCCCTATAGCCCCAGCTGACCTGGAGCTCACTATGTAGATCAGGTTGGCCTTGATCTCACAGAAATCTGCCTGCCTCTGCCTCCTGAGTGCTGGGCACTAAAGGCGTGTGCCACCATGCCTGGCAAAATTTTTAAAATTACATTTGATTACTGACTTTTACTTAGCTCTTCTACATGAAAAAGAAAATGTATACTTTATAACATATGAAAATTGTTTGCACTAAGACTATAGGAAAACAGCCCCATATTAAAAAATTACTTACCCCAAATAACCTTGCCTCCTTGTGTCACAAGGCCCAACTCGCTCACATTGACCTCAATAACTGTACCTTTCGTGATTACACCTAGAGTTGTATATAGTGGAGAAGATGGATTCTTTTTCACACCAAGTATTGGAAGGCAAAAGGTAGCTTTCAGCTCAGGATGTGTTACATGGGCCTTCTTGAAACGTAGGCCCTAGTAAATCAAACACAATAACGTCTGAGTCCAAAATGTTAACAGTAGTAGTAGGCTTTTTGTAGTCTCATCTTTTCCAATCATCTCAACTATGGGATGAATAATGTCAAGTCTTAAAGCATCAGGTAAAATACATTTGTACAGACTAAAAATCTGACATACTCCTAAAAAAGGATTTGTTCTGTAAGATCTGTCAGAATACTTTTATTTTTCTAGTCATTTACACTTACTGAAGGCTTGATACTATGCAAGAGCTCAAAACTATCTCATTTAAACATGATATCCTTTTAACATTGTTCCACCTTAATATTGAATGATGAAACAAGATCTGCAGGCTTAATAACTTTTGTTTTCCAGATTAAATCACATGTAGTAAATGGAATCAAACCTAAAAAACTCCAATTCCAGGTTTTTAAACACCTCAGCTAGGTGGTAATAGATAAAAGGCTGGCAAATATTCAGTTACAGCACCACTCGGGCACTGTTGGCTCTTGTGTGTACTGTACTATAAATGTCAGAGCACTGTGTCATCTTTATTTTCACCTGTATGGACGTGTAAGGAAAATGACACTAAATTAGGTTCTTGTATTGGGCTCACTGTGTAAGAACTTGCTTAGTATATACTCTCCCTAAAGAAATGTTACCAAAATATATTCCAAAGGTTAGGAATATAACATCAAAACAAGGGGAGTTATAATATAGTCCAGAAGTGAACAAATAAACATTCTGGAAGGAAGTGGAATAGTATGTTCTTGGCGCAGAGGGAGAAAGTGCAGTATATAAATACAAGCGTGGCTATACAGCAGGAAGACTCTACAGAAACAAAACTGTTGTAGTATTTTAACCCATTGGGAATTACTCAGGTTGAGCATTAGGATTAATATAAGATTCCTCTTTATTTTTTCCACCAAGCAGGCTAGATATATAGTAGTATAGCCTCTTTGAAGAGATTTTGCAAAAACATGGTTCACTTATGTATTTTTCAAGCACAGGTGGGGTGGGGAGAAACACTAAGGGGTTGGAGATTTATTTATGGAGATACTATCATTACTCCCAACAAAAGAAATCAAGCTACTTTTATATTCCCTTTTAAAAACAAAATAATTACATGTAGAATGTATTCAAAAGCATTAAGAAAAATAATTACTTCACTAAACAAACTCCAGTTGACTCTGTAAACAGTCTATTGCTGCTTCATCTTTTGGCTAAGTTCAAACATTCCTACTCAAATGTTCTAATTAGTTTGTATCAAAGGCAAGTGTTTGTTGAGATCTAGCACAGTTCTGGCATATAGTAATAGTAGCTGATTTGTTGAGTAAGTAAAGTATGACTATAAAAAATGAAGTCTAATGTATAATGTATTATGTTTAAATATAAGAATTTACTGGCATGTCGGTTATGAAAATTCTTTTTCATTTCAAATCTCTTATGAAGCTAAAGTCAAAATTCAGCTTAGATTCATGAAAAAATGCTAAACAATTCCTATTAAAGACTTAAAGTAACAAAAATAGCACAAAACATCTTCCAAGCCATTCATAGCAATTTTAGGCATTACAAGGAGTTGTAAGGTACTTTATCCAGTTTCACAAAGGCGAATATTTAATTCATCGCACTCTCACAGAGAACTTACCATTGGTCTAATGAACCTTTCATATTTAGGTGGTTTTCTTGTAAAACCATCACCGACAAAGCAGACTTTAGTAACCATCCTCTTCCATGCTTTCTTTTTTCTCTTTCCTGTTCGAATAACTTTCAATACTTCTGTTTCTCCTTGAGCACGAACTTTGGGCAGAGGGACTTCCCATTTTCCCTAGAAGTATGAATTTATATTGTAAGGAAAAGACAACAAGAACTCAACTATGTTTTAGTCACACAAAGTAGTAGATTGACTTTTTTCTCTTAACCATTCAACACTATTTTTTGGAGTTTGGTTGTTTTCTAGAACCTGTACTGTCTCCTCACAAGCCACAATTAAGCAAAACCAGGTAAGTTTGTATATTGTGGATACATTAAATAAATGGTTTCCTTACGCTAAAAATCTTAATACTTTGTTATGGACAAAAAGAAATCCACCTATAATAAGGTAGATATAAATGGTTATATGCTTACTACTAGTGAATAAAAAAGCATTTCACAGCCCACAAAGAATGATATGCAAGCTCTTGGACTTTAGTTTCTTTATTCATTGAGAAGATAACTCATTTCTTCAGTACTAGTTATATCATTCTAATTTTGAATATTTACAATTTTGTTAAAAGATTTAAAAAATAATTTGGAGGCTAAGCTTTTTTTTTGGCCTTTTTGAGACAAGGTTTCCCTGTAGCTGCAGCTGGCCTGGATTCTCTAATGGAGACCAGGCTGGCCTCGAACTCACAGAGATCTGCCAGCTTCTGCCTTCTGAGTGCTGGGATTAAAGGCCATGCGTTACCACACCTGGCTTGCAGGCTAAACTTTTAAAACAGACATACTGCATATATTTTCCAATAGTAAAATATATGCACTTGGGAGGCAGAGGCAGGTGGATCTCTGTGAGATGGAGGCCAGCCTGGTCCACATAGTGAATGCCAGGCCAGCTAGGGCTACAGGGAGACCCTGCCTCAAAAAATAAATAAATCTATTCACAGGTACTTAAAAATATCTTTTTTGAGCTGGGCATGGTGGGGCACGCTTATAGTCCCAGCACTTGGGAGGCAGAGGCAGGCAGATTTCTGTGAGTTCGAGGCCAGCCTGGTCTACATAGTGAGTTCCAGGACAGCTGGGGCTACAGGGAGACCCTGCTTCAAAAAAACAACAACAAAAGAATCTTTTTTGTATTTTTGGCAGAATTTCATCTAGTTTGCCAGTAAGTACAGAAGGTGTGTTTAAAAAATTGCTGATTTTTAAAGTCAGAATATTTTGGGAATTTTCCATTTTCCATCAGAACCAATTTTGGCATTGCAAGGCAAAAAAGACAAAAAGTTGTATTTTTCTCCACAATAGCAGAGCATCATTTCAAATGTAGTCTCTTGTATGGAAAGGTGATCTCAAGGTTTCTATGTAGCCAAGGATGACCTTAAACTTCTGATCCTTCTGTCTCTACCTCCCAAGTGCAAGGATTGAAGGACTGCTAGGCAAAGCATTCCACTAACTGAACTACATGTGTATTCCCTTCTAATAATCTTTTAAAACATATTATCAAATACTTTTAACTGGGATATATGCATCCTGGTGACAAGATAGCATGTTTTTATCAAATTAAATTTACAAAACTGGAACTAGAGAGATGGCTTAAGCACTTGCTGCTCTTGCAGAAGGCCTAGGTTTGGGTCCCAGCACTTTCATGGTAGCTCACAGCTGCCCAGAATTCTAGTTCCAAGGGATCTAATACCCTTCTGGCCTCCAGAGGCACCAGGCATACACAGTGCACATTCATTCATGCAGGCAGACATACACATAAATCTTTCCTAGAACCAAATAACTTAAAAATAGATAAATTTATATAATTTTCAAAGACTTCAATACCTAAACAATGGGAATGATAGTTGCCCTTAATATTTCAAATTAAGCTGAAGAAACAAACCTAGAACCTCAACTTTTACTTTATATATTACTGAGCAAAAAAGATTATACTTTTCACTGCTTACCGCCTTCTCTTTCCGTTTTTGTTTAATCATGTTGGAAAGTACTTTTGCTCTGGACTGCCCTTCTCTGTCGAGCAGATAGGCAGGCACAGCTCCCTGTGGAGTCTTTTCATCATCCTTTTGTTTGGTGTTTCTCTTTTCATGCATCTTGATACTACCAGAAAGGAAAAAGATTCAGGATTATCTGTTTAGAAATTATCCAATGGGAGTTATCTTGTATGAGAGTTAGATGGAATCACTCACGTCTTTTTCATTTGTATTTTCTCAGCATGGCGCTGTTTATGGTACAGCTTGGCCTTCAGACCAATCATTTTTTTTGCCTTCTTTGAACGTTCATGGGCTTCACGACTTTCTTTCTTTCTCTTTTTCTCATGGTAATCCAAACGGTAGCCATAGCGTTTACGGTGTAATTCAATGTATTCATTTTGTGGCTGTAATGATACAAGAAATGTTAAATTTTTCCAGGTAGTAACAAGACTACTGTAACATTTTACACAGCACATAAAGTAGATAAGGCTCCCACACTATCCAAATGCTCTAATGACTCTAGCACTATTATCTATTCATATGATATAAGCTAAATTATTTTAATCTTGGACAATATGTACTTTGTATCTGTACTAATCTCAGGAAAAGCTACTGTTCATTGAAGGGGTTTGCCTAAAACCTAAAAAGATGAGGTGACTACAGGATCTCATTCTTTTTTCCTCGGACTATAAGGTAAGCTATTTTCAATCAACATTTCAGATTTTTTTATTACAAAATTTAGATCAGTTTTGTTGAAGCATACTTTACATACCATGAAACTTGCCATGTTTAGTTGTAGGTGTGTACTTTTAAGTTTTGGCCAACTATGTTTCTGGAACCATTATAATCAAGATGGAATATTAATCTTCCATCACCCCACACCCTTCCCTTGTGCCACTATGAAGTCAAGTCTCTTCCTCATCCTCAGTCTTACATCCCTATAGTTTTGCCTTTCCCGGTGAATCTATAGAACATACAGCCTTTGCATCTGGCTTTTTTCAACTGGAATATATCCATCTTGTGCATATCAGTACTTCAGTATTTTTTAATGCTGAGTGGTAGTCCACCATGTAGACACAAAATCATTTTGTTTATCCACTGACCAGATGATGGGTATTTGGATTTTTGTGTGATAAAGTTGCATAAGTACAGTTGTATGTAGATCTTTGTAAGGACTTTGTTTATTGCCATATTATTTTCCAGAGTGAGTGAATTATTTTGCATATTGTCAGTAATGTATGGGATTCCTTTTGCGTTTCAAACTTTTTAAAAATAATTCAATAGTGGTCAAAGACACTATCGTGCCCGCAAAAATAAAATGATGCACAGCCAAGGGCAGCTTAGAAAACAAAGCTAAGTAACAAATAACTAAAGGTGGATTTTACAACTGCTATCACGTAAACTTTGCAGCAACTACAAGAGAGGTATAAGGAATTCCATTTGGTAGGAAAAAAAAATCAGTAGAAAGAGGAAGGCAAGCAAGCAGGCAGGCAGTCGGGGCCGATAGGCTCGGGTCCTCAATTCATCCGCTTTGGAACTTTTGACAAGGACAATGGATTTCCTGAGCAGTAAAAAGGCGTGGCACGATTAAGGCTCACTGTACGGGGTTGTGACAGGCCTTAACTAGTCTACTAGGCTGGCACTTCCGCCACACTGTGGCAACACCCGGTCTTTAACAGTGAAGTCTGTCTCCAAGACTCATGTAGCTAGTCCCTAAGATAAAACACTCTCGCTGGAGCCCACGGGTGGACACGTTTACCTTCTTCCCTCAACAGCACCTCATTTCCGCCAACTACTGTCCTCCAGTCTCGGTCTCCGAGGCCCACTAACCCTCACGTCCTCGGTCGCCAGCGCCCGAGGGGCCTCCTTACCATGATGCCAGCCGCGGAGCCGCGGGGCCCAGCCTCCGGCGGCACAAAAACCTTTCAACTTTCGGGTCTCCCGGACCCACGAGATTACTTCACGCAGCCTGGAGCAGGAAAGGGCCAGTCCTTAAATCGGCCGAATGTAGCGCATAAGCGCCAAGCGATGGTTCCGACTCTGTTCTCCGCCCCTAGGCAGCAAGGCGGAAGTTGCTGGCAGGCGGTATTTGGCTGGTGCACCACCGGAAGTAGGGACGCGCGCAGCCACGGGAGGCAAGTTAGAGGAGGTCTTGGTTCCTTTTGGCAGGTACGCTGGTGCTTGAGAAAGTGGTGCATCGAAACGTTTGACTGTTGTAGAGTTGCGTGACCTGTGCCTCTTGCTCCCTGTAGTCTGGCCGGAAGCAGCCAACCCTCGGTGCATAAGCGCCAGGTGGGTGTCGCGTTGTGCGGCAGTGACCCTGTCCGGTGCTGGGCACTTCTGACTTTGCAGGCTTCGGCTTGATAGCGGGCCAGGCCCACCACGCCCTCCGACTCCCGCCTCTCAGCGTCTGTTCAATTAGGGACATTTTTCTCCATCCTTTAACAAGGGCGGTTGATTTTTTTTTTTCCTGTCATTAATGTGTGCACAGTTTTAATGAACTGAACTTTGTTATCTAGATAGACAGTAAAACTGCTGGGCGAAATGCCAGGAAAGTAAAAGATAATTTTGGTTTTGTGAAGATTCAGAACTTAATTCTCGAAGGTTCTGTGAGGCCTTTTTGTACAGTGGACCTTGGGCCGAATGGAATTGAAGTGCCCCTCTACTTCTGAGAAGGAAATAATTCCCAAGAAAGCACATCTAATTACCATCAGTTTTACCTTTTTACTGTAGTCACAGAAGTTCCCTACCTACCCCGTAGTTTCAAACCCCGTTTAGATATGATGGGAACAAAAATAACTACCAAAACAAAGTATTCATCTCCAGTAGTCTTAGTGCTTGGATTTCAAGCAGTCTTTTGAGGCTCCAAGGGCTAATGTGTTCGTTTCTTGAAAACCAGAAGTAATACTAATTAGCATTTGTTAACTTTTCAGCAGCAGTAAATTATATTTCTCTGACTGGAATATACTCCCTATTCCTCATTGCCTGGCTTACCTATTTTAATGTCTTTGCTTTAACATCAGTTTTAGTGAGGTCTCCTTTGACCTCTCACTATAGTTGTCCCAGTTCCTGGTCCTTGCTTAATTCTTGTCTCCCACACCCATCGGCATAGGAGAGGCTGTGTATTTTGGTTACTAATGTTTGTAGCCTTTTTGTAGGATAGGATAGTGTCAGTGTGAGGGTAGGAATTGTCTTTTGTTCACTGCTTTGACTCCAATACCTAGAAGGAAATGTTATGCACAATTTTACTGAATATATGAATTTAATTCTCATGCCATTCCTGTGATGCCAGATGATAGACTGAACTGCGGAGATTTCAAGTTATTTATCCAAGAATTCAGAAAACTTGGGACTCCAGCAAGTTTTCTGATAATAAAGCCTAGTCGGTTTTTTTTTTTTTTAAGTTTGTTGAACTGGAGCATACATGTAGGAAATGGACATATTATAGATGTATGTTTCAGTGAGCTTTCAGACCCTGAGCATACCCATGTGGTCTGACAGCTCCCAAATCCAGAAAATATTTCTAACTTATATCTGAGAATTCCTCCTTTTGTTTCTTTCTGATCATTACTGCTTGCAAAATAATGGGTCAGTGTGACCTGTTGTGCTGACATAATTGAAATCAAATGGAAGGAGTTCTCTCATTTCTTTTGCTGAACATTTGAGTTTTTATTTTCAGTTACAATTTTCAGATTATAGATTTTTTTTTTCTTTCCTTTTTTGATGTTTTTGAGACAGGCTTACTCTAACCCAGCCTGGCCTGGAACTTACTGTGTAATCCAGGCTGGCTTCAAACTCAAGGTGAGTTTGTGTGCTGGGATTGCAGGAGTGAGCCACTATGCCTTATGAAAATTTTTAATGAGTTGGTTTTGTTAATTTATCTTTTACAGACACATACACATATTTTGGTGCTGGGGCTTGAGCCCAGGGCTGTGCATATGCCAGGCAAGCATTCTACCTTTGAGCCCCATCCACTGTAGTTTTTATTTATTATTCCCAGAGCCATTGTTCCCTATTTTCCTTTGGAATCAAGAAGAATAAATGGAAATGTAAAGGCTAAGCAGTGGTAACCTTGATTTGTGTAATAGAGAAAACAAAGTGGTTGTTTCTGTTGTTTTTACTTTAACCTGTTATTGTAGGGTAAAAATGGGCTAGACAAGTCAATGTCAGCAACTTTTAAAAATTATTGTATCCCGGGGCTGGAGAGATGGCTTAGCGATTAAGAACACTGGCTGTTCTTGCAGAAGACCTGGGTTCGAATCCCAGCAACCACATGGAATCTAACAACTGTCTGTAACTCCAGTTCCAGGAGATCCGACAACCTCTTCTGTCCTCCATGGGCATTGCACAGTACAGATACATTTACCTACATGCAGGCAATACACACATAAACATAAAAATAAATAGAATGTTTTTTTTTTAATTACTGTGTCCCTGGCTGGAGTTAAGTTGGGCATTATCATAGCTTTTTACAACCTATAAAACAAATATAGCAGGTACCCAGTTTTTGCATTTGGGTGATGAAAAGCACAAAATGATAGTCCTCTGATCTGAATGAAACTTTAGGTATTATAGATAAAATTAGAAGTGATAAACCAGAAAGATGTGGGAGCCACCTTGTCACTTGATTATGTAAAGAGTAAATCTTATGCTAAAGAGATAGAATGGGTACAGTAATAAGATGTTTTCAGAAAGTATTATGTGTATGAGTGTTTTGCCTGCATGTATGTAAATGCACCCATGTTGTGCAATTCCTGCAGAAGCCAAAAGAGAGTGATTCCGTAGAACTGGAGTTACAGAGAGTTGTTAACTGCCATGTGGGTACTGGGAACTGAACCTAGGTCCTCTGTAAGAGTAGTCAGTGCTCTTAACTGCTGAGCATTTCTTCAGCCCCACCTTCTTTACATTTCTAATAATCAAGTCTTGTGTTTACTCTAGTAAATGTTAAAGGAACAAGAGACTGGGAAAGTGCATTATCAGTCCAGGTAAATTTTAGAGTCTTAAACCAGTGAGCATTTTTTTAAAAAACAAGTAAGTTAATTTGACAGGCTTTTTCTTAAATATAGCTAAAGCCAACTGTTTATTAAAGGTATAAATAAAATAGCCTTTTTAAAAAAATTGTGCCAGGAGCTGGAGTGATGGCTCAGCAGTTAAGAGTATTTCCTGAGTTCAATTCGAGTACCCACATTGGTGGCAGCTCACAACTGCCTGTAACTACCTCTAGAGGATCTAATGCCTTCTGGCCTCTGCAGTAACCCACACATATGGGGCATACATTCACACACACACCATGAAATTGGGTAGGGGGTAGTAAGGGCAGTGCAGATAGGGGAGGAGAGAAAAAGAATGGAAGGTGGCATTGAAGGGTAGTTACTCAAGGGAAAATGAGGATGTTGTTTTTAAAAGATTGAAGGCATTTGGGGCACAGACACAGAACAACCCTATTATTAACCCCACTATCATATGGTCATCTGAAAAATAGTCATTTCAGTATAAATTTATTTTTATATTTTAGTCAATATTTTTGGCTATAAAATATGTGTAAAAATATACTCATTTTAAATATTAAAAAAGGCAGATTCAGCTTTCAACACATTCGGACAACATTCTTTGTGTCTCTTCTACTTGACTGTTCTGTGCTAAAATAAGTATGTAGTTAAGGTTTAATCAAATTGAGATTTTTTTTTTACTGTATCAAGTATATTTGTAAAAATATTTTTTATTCTTTGAGAAGTTTATACTTGCATGCAAAGTGTTTTGATCACATTCACATTCCACTCCTCTTGGGTCCATTCTTACCCCAACAAGCATGTTCTTAATTTAATTTTTTGACTGATTGTTTGATGGTGAAGAGTCGAGTAGCTGGTAGTATATTCAGTGGCCTGGACACATGCCACCCCGTCTTACTCATCATACAGTCAGTGCACATGTGAAAACTGAAAAGGACCAAGTGCCTTAGTATTATTTTGAAAATAATTTTAACCCTGTAAGACCTTAGGAACCTTAAAGAGTCCATAGATCACAGTTTGAGAATCAGTGAATTGCAGAGTACTTTTCAGCCTTGGCACTAATGACATTTTGTTCTAGATAGTTCTTTGTTATGAGGGGCTATGCTGCAGATTGTAGGATATTTAGCAGTATCAACCTACTAGATGCCATTGTACCTCCTCATCTGTAACAATAAAAATCATTGCCAGTGTCTCTCAAGCAAGAATAGTATACAGACTTGTTTCTGTTATAACACCAGATCCAAGTGACCAAAGGCAAGTGTCTGCAATGTGAGTGACTGGAGAGGGAAGATAAGGTGTTTGGAATGAGAAAGGAATGGATTCAAGATGTATTTAGGAAAGAAAGTGAAAAGACTTGGTGTTTTTTTTTTTTTTGGTCTTTTTGAGACAGGGTCTCCCTGTAGCCCCAGCTGTCCTGGAACTCACTATGTAGACCAGGCTGGCATTGAACTCACAAAGATCCGCCTGGGATTAATCCCAGAGAGTGCTAGGATTAAGGGCGTGTGCTACCACGCCTGGCTAATTTTTTTAAAAAAGAAAGAAGCAGGTGTAGGAGGAAGGCTGGTGAGTTTTGCAGCAGCTTCTTACATAGCACAGTTGCTAACACTTTGATGTTTTACTTAAACACAGTGAATGCTCAATAATTGTGGGTTTGCAGTATTATCACAATGCTGGAGATCAAATCCAAGACCTGGGGCATACTAAACTAGTGTTATACCAGGGAACTACACCTAAGCTTTAGTAAATGTTTTGAAAGTAGAGATACTCCTGTTTCTGCAATAGAGAAAGACAACTTGGTTTGATACATTTTACATGATTTTATTTTCATGTTTTTGTAGATCAATATATAGATAGGGGTTTTTGCCAATGATAAACTACCAGGTTTTCATGAGAATATTTACCTTTCCATACTTAATTCTATATATTTATGTAAAAGTATGTTTTGAGTTATATGGTTTTTTAAAATTTCAATTAATGTATTTCAGTAATATCTCTAGATTTTGGGGGGTTTTTTGTTTTTGTTTTTGAGATAGTGTCTTGCTAAATAGTCCAAGCTGGCCTCAACTTGTAATCTTGTCCCTCTCTTTCCCTGGGATTACAGGCCTTTCATATCTTTAAGAATTAGTGTCTTTCTTTTCTTTTCAAAGGGACATTTTAAACTTAAGAACTCTATATCATATTTAGGACAAATTTTCATTTTCTGAATGATGCATTGAATTTTTGGTAGCTAAAAATATTCCAACTTTCTAAAAGCACTATGTTAACATATAATATATGTCATATATATGCCTTACTGACTTGTCATAAATACTTTTAGATTTATAATTTTATTTCTTTTTTCATAGATAACAGTTTAGAGGATCACAATGTTAACCTCTTTGAAGATTTTTGCAGTGAATCATCAGAAAATATGCAGGATGCATATAAATGTGAGTGTTTTTTATAAAGTTAAATGTACTTTATTAACCTCAATTATTTTGCTCCCAAAGACTTCTTATAGCTTATCCTTCCAAATTTAGTTTGGTCTTAACATTTGGCAATCCTTAAGGCAAACTAATTTAAAAGAAACGACCTTAATAAATGCAATTTCTAAAATTGTCTTGGCAGTAACAAAGAGCAACAGAACCAAATGCTATTCTCATTATGTAATAAAAGGTCAGGTCTTTTGGAGGAGGTGGTGCTTTGTGGCTCTTCTAAGAATGGTAATACTTGGGGCTGGACAGATGGCTCAGCAGTTAAGAGTGCTCACTGCTCTTGTAGAGGACCCGGGTTCGATTTCCAGCACCCACATGGCAGCTACGAACTGTCCTTAACTCCACTTCCAGGGGACTCCAAAGCCCTCTTCTGACCTCCTCAGCTTTGCACAACATGGTTGCGCGTATCTGTATGCAGGCAATACACTCATACACATAAAATAAAAATAATAAAACATTTACAACAAAAAAGAATGGTAACACTTAGTGCTCATTTTTAAACTGCTAATTAAGTGTTCTTTAAGTGTATATATATTTGTAAGTGTCTTTAGGCTAAAACATCTGTGAAATAAAGTTCCTGTTAATGTCAAGATGTGGTATATCATGCAATGGTTGAGATAATAAAACCTTTTCTGTGGAGCTTTTGGAAGCCAGTTTCTTAGGCAGCTTGGCATTTGCCTCATACTTCATGAACATTGTTTTTGTCTTTAAGGTCTGATGCTATATTTTGTGAACTGTTACATACTCCGTATGCTTTACATTATTAATCCTCATAAGAAACCTTGCCCTTTGTCATTCATCTACCTAAGCAAGAGATGGAAGCTTGTCTGGGTGGTCTTTCCTTCACTAGTAGCTCAACAGGGACTCTTGGAGAATCTGTAACCCAGAAGATGCATGCCTTATCATTAGGCTGTAAATACATTTTTTGCTATTTTAAAATGACTTGTACAGCATTTTGAAGAATACATATTTCTTTTGGGAGCAAGTATAGAAAGAATCTTGTTATGTAGCCTAGACTGGCCTCAAACTTGAGCTCTTTCTGGCCCAGCCTCCTAATTTCTACATTTGCTGTCATTTAAGTGGTCAGGGGCGTTCATTAATTGTTTCTCTTCATTGTTTTGAGACAGGGTCTCCCGGTAGCCTCCATCAGCCTGAAACTCACTATATAGAACAGGCTGGTCTCAATCTCACAGATTCACCTGCCCCTGCCTCCCAGGTGCTGGGATTAAAGGCATGCACCACCATGCCCAGCTCTCTCTTCAGTGTTTTTATTATCTGCACTTTGTAGATCATGTAACTGTTGAATCTTCATAATTGCCCTTGGTATGTAGTGGAAATTTGAATAGCTAATAAATTGCAACTGTAATAAGGAGATGAAAACATTTTCTTTTGACAAATCATAGTTACAATGTTAAAACTACTGTAATAAATGACTTTAGTGCTAAAATAAAATTATTGTTGAATTTCTTTTTCTCTCCTAGACTATCTGCTGCTGTAGAATAAGAACAAGTTTTAAAAGGTTAAAGACTTGTGTGCCTCTCATAAGAAATTACAGTTCCCTACCAGGTACAAACGTTAGAGTCTTCTAATTTTACCTAAAATGCTTGCTTTCTTCTCTCTCTCTCATTTTTTTTTCTTTTCCTTCTTTTCTTTCTTTTCTTCTTCCTTTTTCTGGGTGTGTGTGTATGTAAAATTTTCACTTTTTAGGGTGTTTCTAACCATTTTTAACTTGTTGACTATTTCTTTGAGATTATTAGGATAAGAGTATTTGGTAGGCTGGGTGTGTTGGCACATGCCTTTAATCCCAGCACTGGGGAGGCAGAGGCAGGAGGATCTCTGTGAGTTCAAGGACAGCCTGGTCTACATAGTGAGTTCCAGACACCTGGGATTACAGGGAGACCCTGTCTCAAAAAGACAAAACAAAACAAAAAAAAAGAGTATTTGGTAGGTGTTTGGAGGAGATGGGATCTGGTGGAGTTGTGTTTCTCTTCTGCTGAACTTAAAGGGAGAGTTTGGGAGTTTAATAGCTAGTGTAATACCAAACAGGAGGCACAGAGGAAAGCTACATGGTGATGGTCAAATTAAGAGTCCTTTCAATAGTCAGCACTCAAGAGCAAGTTAATGCTAGAAAGACCTCTCGACCCCAAGGAGAGGCAGAGCAGGATTTATAAAGCTTCAAACCACAGTTACATCATACCAGGGGCAAAGCCAATAATCATAGTTGCATCAGATGACCATAGTTAAACCAGACCAGGGGCAGGTCAGTTAACAGTTTTTCAGTTAACAAAATGTTTCTGAGTTTGAGTTAGGAAAAAAAAAGTTTCTCAGTATTACGGAAGCAATGTACTCCCTCAAATTGCAAGTGCAACCTCCATGAGGCCAAGGACTGTTCTGCCTGGCTGCACTTAGCCAGAGCAGGGGGAGCAAAAGTCAGCTCGAATAAAATGGAGTCAATTTGGTCATTTCAGCTGGCTCATAAGTTAAGCATGTGACTCATGTGCTCATGATTAGAAGTATTTATTTTCTGGTTCCTTGCTGAATTATATATTAACATTTTCTGTCAGTAGCAGTGTATCAGAGTAATTTATTTTGAAGTCTAGGAAGTAACTTGGTTATGTGTTTATCTGGAATAGTTTAGACTATTAGAATCTGGAAGACCCACAAGCTGACTGCTTTCATTCTTGATGTCCCTCCTGTGCTTGAAGCATACAGTTCTGATAAACTAGCCTAATCCCTCTACGCTGTCCTCATTGCTTTATTTGTCATGTGTGGATGATGGAGTAAAAATACTAAGTGGTTGCTGACTCAAAAGGGCACATGAATTTAATGAGCTGGGCTTGTGCTGTTAGTGTTGTTTTGCCCAGTTCGCAAGACCCCAAAGACCACCAAGGAGCCTACCAATGCAAATACATAAGGGTTCTTTTATTGTTGCAAGCTTAAGCTTGGCTCCACTCTGTCACTGACTCAGTGGATCTCAGATGTAAGACCCCCTTGCTTTGAGAGACAGAGGTTTTTATAGGTTTATTTCAGCAAGTTCAGCAAGTAGGAGAGTAGGGGGTCTTCAGCCTGGCAAGCATCTGATTGGTTACAGCTCGGTGCCAAACCATAAACTGCTGGCTTCAGAAAATCTGAAAAGATATCTGGACTTTTAGTACTTTACTGTCCCTGGTTAATTGACCATTGGCAGGGCAGTTGTTCTCTGTCCATTCCAAGTATTGTGGTTTTTCTTGGAACAGGGCCCAGGGCTGGGTCAGTCCTATGGAGGTTTTATCCAAGATGGAGTCACTCAGGTCTCTCAGTGTATATGTAGGTTTTTATAGTGTACCCGTGTGAATTTTACTGTGGCATGTAATTGTCTTTTAATGTTTAAAAGTGTTCAATAGTTTTTTTTGTTGTTGTTGTTTTCTTTTTTTTTTTTTTTTTGTTTTTTTTTTTTTTTTTTTTTGGTCTTTTTTGTAGCCCCAGCTGGCCTGGAACTCACTATGTAGACCAGGCTGGCTTCGAATTCAACAGAGATCTGCTTGCCTCTGCCTCTGGAGTGTGGGGATTAAAGGCGTACACCACCACGCCCAGCCCCATTGGGTTTTTAAAATAATATAAAGCTTCTTATTTTAGAAACTTAAAAGATCAAGTTCAAATAGGATGAAGGTAGAGATTAAATTTGTAAATAGAACTGTTGTTCCTTTAATATTACTACTGAAAACTATGGTAATATGGAGTTGATCGTTACGGATATTTTTCATGTAAGAAATACTATGTGGCTAGGTGTGATGGGTCACACTAAAATCCTAGTAATAAAGAGGCTGGAGCAGGAGACCTGATTGTTTAACTTCAGGCTGGGCTACGTAGTGAGACTCTGCCTCAAAAAGTATAAATTAGGAACTGGAAAAATGGTTCAGTGGTTAAGAGCACTGGCTGCTCTTGTAGAGGGTTGGCTTTCCAGGATCCACATGAGGCTAACAACCATCTGTAACTCCAGCTGCAGGGGAATCCTACGCCCTCTTCTGACCTCCACAGGCACTGCACGACATAGGTGCACTAACACACATGCAGGCAATATATTTACACATAAAATAAAAAATAAAGATAAAAATGTAAATAAATAAAAAATAAAATTGGAATAAATTCTCTTTAGCCACTTAGAAGTATTAGGTTTTTCAGCTTCTGTTTGTTGATAGCACCAGCCAGGCCATCTCTAAAGGTACTATATCCAACATTGCTCATGGAAGGCAGCTTCCAAACTGTTCAGGAGTTCATTATTGTTGAGAAGGTCACTCTGAATCCTTCAAATCTTGGAAAGTACAAGTTTATGGGACTGTGCATTTAGATTTTTTTTTGATTTAGGATCTACTGGTGACTTAATATTTTCATTATGAGCATTAATTCTACAAGTCTATAAATAGAGATATAGCAACAGAGAATGGAGTAAATCTGCAATCTTTAAGGATATGATTTAGGAATTGGTGTTTTAAGATATTATTTTTATTTTATGTATATGAGTCATTCGGTGCCCATGGAGGTCAGGAGAGGGCATCAGATCCCCTGGAACTGGAGGTACTGGTGGTTGTTAGCTGCCATGTGGATGCTGGGGTGCCTAGGTCTTCTGCAAGAACAGCCAGTGCTCTTAACCACTGAGCCATCTCTCCAGCCCCAGGAATTGGTGTTTTAAAACTTTTACCTGTTTTACCATCAACTATAACTTCCTTACATATTAGAGGAAAAGAAATTTTAGATAAGTTTTATTTAGCTTAGGTTGTACTTCATTTGGTATTATAGTATTTGCTTTAAATGATCATGTTTTCATTTAGAAATTAAAGGACATAAATTTACCAGTTTAATTTTTAATCCTCTTTCCACTAGGCTTAATAGGAAATGATGTCAAATCCCTTCATTCCATCATTAATCCTCCTATAGCTAAGTAAGTACTGTCACTATATTGTTTTTTTCATAGGCTGTCGAGAAAATCTCCTAGTTTTCTCTGATGGACATTATTAGTGACTTACATAATTAGCAAAATGTTAATGGAAAAAATATTTGTGACTTTCTACCATAGGTAATTATAAATATATGTTAGTATGTATCTTAAAAGTGATTCCCCCCTCCCCAGTGTAATGTTAAGAATTTTTAATGCAACAATAGCATACTCTTCATAAAAATGAATTTAAAATACTCAAGACTGTAGTTAGCCCTTTTTGTTGCTTGGTTATTTTGTTAGATAATGTGGCAGGAGTAAGAGAGGGACAAGGGAGCGCAGTATGGGATGATGATGATCAAAATGCATTATATACATGTGTGAAAATGTGATAATGAAATCCATTGTTTTGTATAATAATATACACAAACTTTAGAAAACCAAAAAACATGTTTTCAATTTTTCTGCTGTTAACGTACTCATAATTTATAGGATATTAATCAGCTTTTATTAATGTTAAATATTTAATTTGTACAGCAGAGATATTTTGGTTGTGTAATTCAGTAATATATGCATCATAATGCATGTCCTTTTTCTTCTTTTAAACAGAATTCGTAATATTGGAATCATGGCTCATATTGATGCAGGCAAAACTACCACTACAGAAAGAATACTATACTATTCTGGATACACAAGATCACTGGGAGGTTAGAATGGATTCCTCCTCTCCCCACTCCCCCATTAGCAAAAGCATCAATGGAAAATATTTTGATTAAGAAGTCAACCTAGAGACTTTGACTATGGCATGGAGTCACTGATGTCTAAACCACAACATAAAGATAAGGTAGTTGCAATACCCACTGAAGGGTCTTCTAAGATTTAACTGAACATTTAGACTCCAGAAGGCTATTATGGGCCTTGTTTGGCACTAGGGTGGGAACTATACCCTCGTATTAGAGATTTCTTTCTACAAAAACCACCCTCATTTAGAAAACTCAGTTATAGTTTCTGCATTCCTTATAAGTGATGTACCTTTACCCACTCAGGAAGCTCAAGGTATATATCTCCAAGTTACAGCTCTTTTCAATTCAGTTTTAGTTAATCACTCAGAAGTGTTTTTTTTCTGTGTTACATTTAGAGAACAGAAGTAGTTAACCTATTTCTGTTGTCTGATTTCTACAAGAAAAAAATTGGAAAGTTAACTGAAAGCCAAATTCTCATCTAGAAAACGAAAAGATTTTATTGATCCTTACCTAAGTTTTGAATTGACTTTTTAAATTTATTTTATTTTATTTTATGTGTATGAGTGTATTGTCTGCATGTATGTGAGTGCACCCAGGTCGTGCAATGCTGTGGAGGTCAGAAGAGGACTTCGGATTCCCCTGGATCTGGAGTTAAGGACAGTTTGTAGCTGCCATGTGGGTGCTGGGAATCGAACCTGGGTCCTTTGTAAGAGCAGTCAGTGCTCTTAACTGCTGAGCCATCCCTCCAGCCCCTGAATTGACTTTTTAATTGTAACTTACACAAATTTAGGTTCTTGGGCAGGCATGCATATATGAATTTACAACACATATGGTTTTGTTGCATATTTTTTTTCTGTTCATTATTTTTCTGTTTATTTATTTAATTAATTTGTTCTTTTTGAGACAGGGCCTCCCTGTAGCTCTAGCTGGCCTGGAACTTGCTGTGTAGCCCAGGCCTTGGTCTCATGGAGATCCGCCTGCCTCTGCCTCCCAAGTGCTGGGATTAAAGGTGTGTACCACCATACCCAGCCCTGTTTAATTTTTGACAATTTCATACATGTATGCCATGCATTGTTATCCCCCATTACTCCTCTTGTCCTCCACACCCTTCCACTGAACCCCTTCTCAGCTGGTCTCACTTCTACTTTAAAGTCTTTTCATGTGTGTGACCCACTGCATTTAATTAAAAAGGTTACTTGCGTGAGCATGGATTGGAGGTTATTGTTTTTAAATACTGCTTCTCTAGCCCTCACTGTGGGTTCAGGTGGTCTAGGTAATGGTATGCACCCTATTAGAAACAATTTCTCTAGACTATTGAATGAGACTTGGTACGTAGTCGAAAAAAGAGCACAAGGATTAGAGGCTTCAAGATAATAAGTTTCTAAATGTAGTGCCACCTGCATTTTTCATAGAATTACTCCACGTAAATAGGTATATGACATACAGCAAGATGTGGAACACTGTTAGGCTTCCTCTGTGGTATCATAAGTCTCATAATAATCCTCCCTCACAGTCTCAATTTGTATACCTGAGGTGATTGTACTTTCCAAGTTACCATTTTTTAAAATTGTGGCAAAAAATTTTAATCCATAAGTGTTTATACATACAGTTCAGTATAGCTTAAGTATTCCTTATATAACATGATATCAGAAATATTTCAGATTTTAGAGGTTTTGGTTTTGAAATACTTTCTTGGACTGTACTGATTGGGCATTCCTAATCTGGAAATCTAAAACTAGAAATCAGAAATACTATAAGATTGGAAACATCAAAAACTGATTTTAGATTTCTATAGACCTAGAAACTAAGCAAGTTGTGGCATAACTTAGTGGCCCATGGTTGATACTGTTAGAAGACTAATTATGAAGGCATAACATGAAATAATGAAATAAAGATCTTTATTATTGTGAAAAACTTTAATGTTTTTAAAATGTACTGCCTTTTTTGGTTAGTATTTGGTCTTGTTTGTTTTGAGGTAGCTCAGATTGGCTTTGAACTCATGATTCTTTAATAGAATTTCTTTAATTCTGTTATGTACTCTTTCCTGTTTTAGCTAGCTGGAGTTTCATGGCAAACTTACTAATCTTGCTGAAGAAGCTTTTTCTCCTATGAATACATATGTAGAGAATGATGAAGTCTCTGAGAATTAAAGTAAATATTTTGGGAAAGTTTTTTTGTAAAACAAGTTGAACTATTTCAGATACATTTCAAGAACCAATAAAATATATTTGCTATTAAACCTAAACTGTCCTCTTTTTTCCTGATTAGATGTTGATGATGGAGATACAGTGACAGATTTCATGGCTCAAGAACGAGAAAGGGGCATTACTATTCAGTCAGCTGCTGTGACGTTTGATTGGAAAGGGTATAGAATCAATCTGATTGATACGCCAGGTACGGTTTCACCATGTACAGATCCTGCATCATTTGGGTTGTTTCTGTGGATTATTTAAAAATTATGGTAAAAAACATGTCATAAAATGTACTATAAACATTTTAAGTGTATAGAATAAAATACTATATTCCTGTTGCTATGAAACTGATCTCTAGAACTTTGAGTTCTAGAACATCAATGCTCCTTTGTCCCCTCTCCCTCCCTACCCTTAATGACCATCATTCCTTTTTCTACATCCTTTTTCTACATTCCTTTTTCTAACATGACTACTCTAGATAACTTATATAAATGGAATCACAGTATTTGTAATTTTGTGATTGGCATATTTATTTGAATTAGTGTAAAGTTCTCATGTAATAGGATTTCCTTTTTTTAATATTTATTATTTTTATTTTAAGTGTAAGAGTGTATTGCCTGCATGTATGTGAGTGCACCCGTGTCATGCAGTGCCACGGAGGTCAGAAGCGGGCGTCAGAGTCCCCTGGAACTGGAGTTAAGGACAGTTCGTAGCTGCCATGTGGGTGCTGGGAATCGTACCTAGGTCCTCTGCAAGAGCAGTCAGTGCTCCTAACCGCTGAGCCATCTCTCCAGCCCGATTTCCTTTCTTTTAAAGCTATGTACATGTACTTCCATTGTACATGCACTTGTCTCTCAGTATGCATGACAAATTGGTTCCAGGACCTCCCGCAGACACTAAAATCTATAGATATTCAAATCTCTTCTGTAAAATGGAATAATATTTGCATATGGCCTGTTTATATCCTCTTGTATACCAACAGGATCGAATGTAGTGGAAATGCTCTCTGTGGTTGTTATTCTGAGATCAATGACTAAAAAGTCTGTACTTCTGAACAGACACATCTTTTTTTTTCTGAAGGGTTTCAATCTATACTTGAATCTAGACACAGAACCTGTGGGTGTGGAGAGGCAACTAATGTGCCATATTGCTGATTGATTGATTGATTGATTGATTGATTTGGGTGACTTCCTCCTTTTGGCTATTATGAATAATGCTGCTGTGAACATGGGCCAACAGATGGTTGATTTCTTCTTTTTTTTTTTTTGTCTTTTTGAGGCAGGGTCTCCCTATAGCCTTAGCTGGCCTGGAAATCATTATGTAGACCAGGCTCGCCTTGAACTCATGGAGATCCACTGCCTCTGCCTCCCATGTGCATGGATTAAAGGTGTGTGCCACCGCACCACCTGGCTTAAGTGCTTCTCATTCTTTTCTTAGGTCATGTGGACTTTACCTTGGAGGTCGAGCGCTGCCTAAGAGTGTTGGATGGTGCAGTGGCTGTGTTTGATGCCTCAGCTGGTGTAGAGGTAAATGCTATTACCAAAGTGAAGACAGAACAGCATGAGTTTTTAAAAAGGTGGAATTAGTTCATTATAACCATTTATTTGGTAAGTACACAAAATCAGATTGTGTTTCCATAAAGGAAGTTGGAATTTAATAGTGAAAAGCACCAGGCTTTGTGACACAAGCCTTTTATCCCAGCATTTGGGAGGCTGAGGCAGGCAGAGCTCTGAGTTCAAGGCCAGCCTGGTCTACATAGAGTGTTCTAGGCCAGCTGGGCCTACAGGGAGACTCTGTCTCCAAAAGACCAGAGAGAGAGAGGGGGGGGAGGGAGGGAGGGAGAGAGGGAGAGAGAGAGGGAGAGAGAATAGGCAGAATGGGTACTTGTGGTGACATAAGAGGGTTTTTTTTTTTTTTTTTAATGTTTATAAGTGTTTCACCTGTATATATGTAAGTGCACCTGTGTTGTACAATGCCCACAAAGGTCAGAAGAGGGTGTTGGATCCCCTGGAACTGGAGTTATGGACAGTGGTTAGCTACTATGTGGGTGCTAGGAATCAAACCTGGGTCCTCAGGAAGAGCAGACAATGCTCTTAACCACTGAGCCATCTTTCCAGCCCCAGAACAGGTTTCTTATGAAAGGCTGGAGAGAATTTCTGAAGTGATAGCATTTTCTTGAGTAGTGTTACACAAAGGTGTATTTTTTATCAAAGCTCAATCTATGCATTTAAAGTCGATGGATTTTGCTGTTTATAAGTTTTACGTAAACAAATATCAAACTCTTCTGATTGATATTGGTGCATTAGACTTTTCATGTTTTGCTTCAAGGCCTTTGGACTCCATGATTTACAGATATGAATAGATTCAGACTGTATTTATATACTTAATATGTGCAAAAAATGAAATCAGTAGAAGAAAAGCAAATGTGAATGACTACTTAGAAATAATAGATTTAGTCTGTCCCTACCCTTGACCTTCTCAATTTAACATTCAAATATTGTAATAAGAAGGGTTGTTCTTTTTTTGTCATAGTAGTGTTTTTATTCTGATTTGTTAAATAAGGCAAAAAAAAAAAATCCTGTTTTATACTTCAAAACACTGACATTGGCAGGTGTGGTGGTACATGCCTGTCATCCCAGCTCTTGGGAGGTAGAAGGAAGATCAGGAATGCAAGGTCCACCGTGCTACATAGCAAGTTCAGCATGGGCTAGATGACATCTTGTGTTATAAATACATAAACAAACAAATAAATAATAAACCAGATTAAAGAAAAACAGCAGACATTAAATTAGTTCTTTTTTTGTGTGATATGTATTGGGGAAAAAAATCAAACAAAGGTCTTCTGACTTTCAGTTATGCTCTCTTTTGGTGACTCCATACCTCCCACATGTTAAATCTCTTTGTGGGAACTTAGTCCCTCCCCGGCAGAAACCTCACCAACATGAAAAACAGCATTGTTCTCGAGTAGTATGAGGCTCATTCTTCATCTTACTCTATGTAGCCCAGTTCTGTTAACCTGGGAGCAAAGTACTGGCCCTAGAAACAGCAGTGCAGTGGTTCTCATTCTCTACAGATTCAGCCTTGTTATCACAGATGCTTGGATCTCTTCATCCCATGTCTAACAACAGTTGTATTTTCTCTCATTTTTGCTTCAGGCCCAGACTCTCACAGTGTGGAGACAAGCTGATAAACACAAAATTCCTCGAATCTGTTTTGTAAACAAAATGGACAAAACTGGTGCAAGGTATATAATATAAACTGTGTTTCTTTGTCTTATGAAGGTTTTAAAAAAACGCTTTATAGCTTGAATTTAGAAATAGCTAGTCTTATAGGGTATGATTATTCTGTGGAATCCTACTGGGTTTCAACTTAAGCTGTGGAAATAACTTACACTTAGAAATAACTATTCTTACAAGGTACAGTTATTCTCTGGAATCTTAAGAAAGGTGGGTATGATGATGCACACCTTTAATCCCAACACTCAGGAGGCAGAGGCAGGTGGACTCTGACATTGAAGCCAGCCTGTTCTGCATAGTGAGTTCTAGGCCAGCTGGGGCTACAGGGAGACCCTGTCTCAAAAAATTTAAAGCAACTCAATCATGGTTGAGACTGCTAAAGAGCTGCTAAGTGGCAAGCCATCTGTATCTAATGAACAGGGGCTGGAGCATGTTTTGTAGGATCCTGAGGGAGTGTTTGATGTTTCTGTTATTTCTCTTTACTCTGTAGTGTAACACCTGTTAACTGTTGAAAGCTATTGCAGTCCCCATGATTGCTAGAATTAGAGAGTATGGTTTCCTGCCATTGACTCACAGAATGGTGTTTTTCCATGTCTATAGTTAGTGGGTATCAGGCACAGCAAAAAAGAACTGGGAGGGAGAATGTGTATGTCAGGCAGCAGACAGTTACTGCTGAGATAGTGGTGATCTGGGCCTCTTGCTCAAAGGCTTATATAGAGTAGCAGTTCAAAATGGATATTTTTTTTCTAATAACATAGAGAATCAAAAATAGAAGGATTTGATGAAAATGTGAGCTGGAATGAATCAAGAATTTTAAGATTCTGGGGGAAGATGTTGTACGGCAGAGCTTGGTCAGTGGTGGGAGAGTGCCAAAAATGAAACACGCAAGCTGTCCTTCCCCTAAGACACAGTCATGTGCTTTGTGATTATGTAGCTTCCTCAGCAATTCTGGTTAAAGGACTCTTGATTAAAAATGAATAGCACAACAATCTTTGATATTTGCTAGGGTCAAGTTTAAGCCTTTGTTTAGAGTTTCTTATACGAGATGGAAGTGCATGTTTACTGACTTACAATGTCCAGTGATAAGGAGATGCCTGGGTGTACTAGGCTGGTTCTCAAAGAGGTTGGGGGACTGGAGAGATGGCTCAGTGGTTAAGAGCACTGGCTAGTCTTGCAGAAGACCCAGGTTCAAACCCCAGCACCCACATGGCGGCTATCAACCATCTGTAACTCCAGTTCCAGGGGCTCCAACGCCTTCTTCTGTCCTCCAAGGACACTGCACAACACAGCTACACTTACACACATGGAAGCATAACACTCATATAAATAGATAAATAGATTAGATGATTGATAGATAGATGATAGATAGATAGATAGATAGATAGATAGATAGATAGATAGATAAGGAAAGGAAAGGAAAGGAAAGGAAAGGAAAGGAAAGGAAGAGGAGAAGAGAAGAGGTTGTTGGGGTCAGAGTGATCTGTGTATAAGTATAAATCAGTCTTTGTGCCAGCAATGGCATGCATGCCATGGGTAGTGAACTCCAGCATTAGCATAGACACAAACAGGGTAGCATATGATCTTAATGCCCATGATAAAAGTATAGAAACATCATCAGTTTGGCTCCTGGAAGAAAGAATCCTTGATTCAAATGAAATCTTCCATTTGGGCCTAATTATGTGATCTTAATTAACCTTAGGGTAAAGTTTGGTTATGTGACGTTCACAATAATAATTCCTTAAACTTCCACATGGCAGAATTATGGTAAATAATCACTATTAGCAAGTTTATTCAAGGTACTGTCCTGTTGAAAACTGTTGAGCTGCTGAACATTAAGGAGAATAAAGGAATTATTTTAGAGAACATTCTTAAACCTGTTATGAGAATTATTTTCACTATATTTCTAACTATGATTGTTTTGCTTTTTGCAGTTTTAACTATACAGTTGAAAGCATCAGGAAGAAGTTAAAGGCAAAGCCTCTGCTTTTACAGGTAAATTAGTTAACATCATTGTCTTCTGTTGCCTATCAATTCATTGTGATGTACATACTTTTGAAGCAGTCTCAAATATAAATAAATACAGCTCTAGATTGAGTTAAAACAGTAATAGGAAATTTGATAAAATTATATAATTAGATGAATTTTGTCACCAATGCAGTTCTAAGTGAATGAATAATCACATAATAAGGCCAATCTCACTCTGACTGACAGTTGCCAATTGGTGAAGCCAAAGCTTTCAAAGGAGTGGTAGATGTAGTAAGTAAAGAAAAACTTCTTTGGACTTCTAATTCGGCTGATGGAAAAGACTTCGAGAGAAAACCCCTCTTGGAAAAGAGTGATCCGGAATTGCTGAAGGAGACAACTGAAGCAAGGAATGTCTTAATCGAACAAGTAAAACAAATACTTTGAGTTTAAAATTGCACAGGTGTTCAGTAATTTTGGACATACTGATTATGAAATTTTATATATACTTCATATATATGTAATGCAACTGAACACTGACGTGTCTACCACCCACAGACAAGTCAAATATGAACTGCTTGGTTTTCTATCCATCCATCCATATTTGTTTTGGTTTTTATTGGTTGTTCTGTATGGGGTTTTGTGTGTGCACATGTGCGAGTGTGTGTGTGCTCAGAGTTGATCCTAGGATTTGGTAGGTGCCAAGCATTTACTTTACTACTAAGCAGCAGTCAACTATTAATAGTTTGTTTTTCCCACCCAGTTTAAATATTTGCTCCCTTATACTGTTACCCACATTTGAAACTGTTTTAGGATTATGATCATGACTTTTTGTTGTTATTTGTTTTGTTTGTTTTGGGGGTTTTTTGGTTTTGTTTTTGAGACATGGTCTCCTTGTAGCCTTGGCTGACCTAGAACTCACCATGTAAACTAGGCTGACCTCCATCTCACAAAGATCCACCTCCTCCCCTGCCTCCTGAGTGCTGGGATTAATGGTGTGGGCCACATGCCCAGCATGACTTGTTTTTGTTTTTTGAGACAGAGTCTTGATTCATAGCCCAGGCTATTCTGAAACTTGTTATCCACCTGCCTCAGCCTCCCAGGTGCTAGGATTGCAGGTATATGCCACCATGCTTAGCCTGTTTTATTAATTTATTGTCAGCAGAATCATCTTGTTTCATATAGGCAAGTGGTTATGACAAGAACGTGAACTAGATAATTACATTTGTATTAGTAGTGCCAGCAACCACCAACTGAACTGTTTTTCTTTCTTTGGTCAGGACTATAGTCAGATCAGGTCTTTTACTTTGATTATCTTGTGAAATCTGGTGATCAATTAGAATGTCAATGGGATATGGGGTGAAATTTATGAACTAAAGGTCCCCCAATTTATCCAAAAACAAGCAACCTTTTGTTCAAATTACCATTGGTATAAGGTGGGCATTTTCTTTCTTTTTAGAAACTTTTATTTATTTATTTTAAATTCACGTGTATGGGTGTTTTGCCTGCATGTATACAAGTGCACCCATGTGTACAGTGCCCACAGAGTTTGGAAGAAGGCATTGGATCCCCTGGAACTGGAGTTATGGAGGGTTGTTGGCTGCCATGTGGGAGCTGGGAACCAAACCCAGATCTACTGCAAGAGCAGCCAGTACTCTTAACTGCTGAGCCATCTCTTCAGCCCCTTCATTTTCTTTCTTTTCTTGGAAGCACTGAGTTCATAGCACTTGACTGAGTCCAGCTCCTACTGAATTTAGGAAAATCATAGTATATCTTCAATTTCCAATGTCCTTTTCTTTGAAAGAAAAATTGTTTTTAAAAGGTAGAAAGAGTTATTTGGCCTTTATAAGGCAAATCATATAACTGTCTTGAAATACATCACTAATGCTTATTTCTAGTATTTAGTTAATAGCTGAATAGTGAAAATAAATGCAAGTTTGTGTAACTTAAAAGTCTTTCTTCATAGGTGGCTGATTTAGATGATGAATTTGCTGACCTGGTTTTAAGAGAATTTAGTGAAAATTTTGATTTGCTACCAGCTGAAAAGGTAATTGTGTTGTTCAATCACTTTGTCAAAATTTTACTGATTGAATACATTGTCCTTTTTCTGTCTTATATTGTGTTTGTATATTAAATTTGAACACTTGTAGAAAATGGTGGTTTAAAAATTAAGGTAAGGTCATGTTCATATACGTACTTAAGGCCATCGATACAGTTTCCAGATTGGCTTCACCAAATCAGAAGTTGAATCGGTTTTACTTATGTAGAGTCGAGATCAGTTAATTTCCTCATGTAGCCTTTTCTCTTCATTCTATTTTTAATTTTATTTATTATTTTTATTTTATATGTATGAGTATATTGCCTGCATGTATGTCAATGCACCTGAGTTGTACAGTGCCTGTGGAGATCAGAAGAGGGAGTTGGATCCCATGGAACTGGAGTTACCGACGGTTGTTAGCTACCATGCGGGTGCTGGGAACTGAACCTGGGTCCTCTGCAAAAGCAGTCAATGCTCTTGACCTCTGAGCCATCTCTTCACCCCGATTCTGTTTATTTTTTTAAGGATGTTTAGGGAAATCACAAAGTTGTACTTAAAACTTATATTTTAAGTGCTTCAGGCTACTACAATGATTTTTCTTTTCTTAGCCTTTTAATGTTTAATGGAAACATGTTATGATTCTTTGGCATATTTTCCTCTTTTAACATGTATTAAACCCAAGAAGTTGCAAGTAAGATAGTCATTGAATTATGATTCTTCAAGGTCTCTGCCAGAGATTATTTCTAATGAATTAGACAAATTTCTTTTCCCTCATGAACCTAAGAGTTGCCAAGTAAAGTGTTTGTAAGTGGTAATGTAGAAAAATGGGACACAAGATAAACCCAAATGAAAATCACTTAGCTATCATTCACAAAAAAAATTAAAATCACAAAGCCAAGTATGGCCACAAACTTGTAATCTCAGTACTAAGAGGCTGAAGCAGGAGGATCACAAGTTTGAGGACATCATGAACTGCATAGCAAGACTCTATCTCAAAGCAAACCAATGAAGCTAAATAGGATGAAAAATACAGGAACTGAAGCATAGTATTGAGCTTTAAGTTACAAATTAGAAAAATGTGATTTTTTTTCCTTTTTAATAAAATGTCATCATTTTTCAGTTTTTAGCTTAAAATTTGAATGTTTAAATTTTATGGTTATTTTTGTCCTAAAACATGAGTCTTGTTTGGAAAGCCAGTCTGAAATGGAGTTGACTTATCAGTTCTTTTGTTAACAGCTTGCAGATGTACCTGATCTTTTCTTGAGTTTTAAAGTCTTTTAAAGTTTCTTTCTTTCACTTTGATTTCTCATTTACCTTTGAACTTTGCATAATGTGGGTATAATTCATTTGGAAAATGATAACTAAAATTTATATATTCTTTTTTTTTTTTGACTGGTTCCTCTGTTGTCAAGATTGAATTATAAGCGTATTAATCCCTGCACTTGACTTGCTTTTTTGTTCTGAGACAGAATATCTTGCTATGGAGCCCTGGCTGGCCTGGAACTCACTGTATAGACCAGGCTGGTCTCAAACTCATGGGTGATCATCCTGCCTCTGTCTCAAGATAGCTAGGATTATAGGCATGCACCATAATTTCTAGCTTCCTTCACTTTTTCAATATTTTTTAAGCACCTATTATATCCTAAACCTTTATAGCTTCTAATGCTTGGTTCTGTTTTAAGGGGATGTATTCTAATGCTCATAAGGATTAATTCTAGGGAATGAGACAGAGAATAAACTGATATCCAATATGCCAGGTAGTGATTAGTGTTATAAAGAAAATAAAGCCAGCTGGGCGTGATGGCACATGCCTTTAATCCCAGCACTCAGGAGGAAGAAGCCGGCAGATCTCTGTGAGTTCAAGGCCAGCCTGGTTTACATATTGAGTTCCAGGCCAGTTGGGGCTACAGGGAAAAAAGAAAGTCATAAAGGATGATGAGTTCTGGGGAGGAGTGCTATTTTACAAGGGTGATTAGGAAAGGCCTCTAGTTCTGAGAGATTCTGGCAGAGGCCTGTGTACTGTTCATAAAATAAATGTTCATTTTATATCTGTTTTTAGCTGCAGACTGCTATACACAGAATAACATTGGCTCAGGCAGCAGTGCCTGTGCTCTGTGGGAGTGCCCTGAAAAACAAAGGCATACAGCCCTTGTTAGATGCCATTACTATGTACTTACCTTCCCCTGAAGAGTGCAAGTATGAATTTCTGTAAGTATGTGATCACATAGATTAAATTCCTATAGCCTTGACAAAACTAATAGGCCTTGTTTCATGAGAAGTAGTGAAAAATGGTCACTTTTAATAGCAGTGGTAAAGACTGTCTTTGTAAATGATATAGAGCCATAGTGAAAGAAACATTTTTCATATCTTTTATCACCTGCCGTGATTATAGATAGAGCTTAGAAGGTGGTTTTTCACTGTGCAAATATGTTTCTGCATCGCAGATTTTTTTTTTTTTTTTAAGTTTGTTACTCATTTAATAGATACATTTCTATTCCTCTAGCTTTCAGGATTTTTCATGTGGTCAAAAAATTTTGTGACTGTAAAGAAAGGTCATTTTATTCTTTTATTTATTTGTTTATTTATTTTATGTGTACGAGTGTTTTGCCTGCGTGTATGTAAGTGCACATGTGTCTTGCATAGCCAGCAGAAGTCAGAAGAGGGAGTCAGAGCCCTTGGAACTGGAGTTACAGATGGCCGCCATGTAGGTGCTGGGAACTGAACCAGGGTCCTCTCGAAGAGCAGCCAGTGGTGTTAACTGCTGAACCATCTCTCTAGCCCCCATGTCTGATTTAACACAATAAATCTCTAAACTAAATGATTAGCTTATCAAAATAACAGAGAAAGACTCTAATTGTATTCACTAGGACAGTAATAATGTTTCATATCTCTGAATTGGCAAATTATTGATGAAGTGAGCGCAGCATGGCTCTTTACTATGTGTAGTCCCAGCTATTCCAAGTTACTGAGCCTCTCCATCTGTGAAAGGCAGATTATAGAGCCCATCACATAGTACTATTCTTAGAATTCAGTTAGTTGATAGGTATTAAGCATGAGGAACAGTACTGTATGTAGAAAGCTTCCATATCAGTATTAATTGAAGTTAAAAAGCAGAAGGAATAGCATTAGGATTGGAGAAGTCTAATGTTTAACCTAGTTTGGGTCATGAACTTCTTTGAGACTGATGAAAATATCAGAAAGATGTACCTATGCACAAAATTTGGCAATTCCTGCTTCACTCACCCTGCGTCCCTGTTCAGCATGGAAGAAGCCAGAGTGGTCTGCATCCTGATTCCCTATCGGTAATTTGGGTAACCTTTTCAGAGGGTGGTGTGATAAGAATAGGAGGTAGGAATTACCTAGGCAGTTAGGGTAAAAAGACTCCAAAGAAAAGTAGCCAGTTTCTTGGCTAAAAGTCAAAATGTCCTTGGACCTCTTAGCAACATATTCTGTTCCAAAGGCCAAAAATGTCAGAAGTATTTGGGAGCTCTTATCTAATCCCTAAAAGATTTTAGGGTTACCTCTTCAGAGGAGGGAATGTTAGAGTAGCAAAAAGCCCCATTAAAAAAAAAAAAAAAAGGGGGGCGTGGTGGCGCAGGCCTTTAATCCCAGCACTAGGGAGGCAGAGGCAGGCAGATCTTTGTGAGCTCAAGGCCGGCCTGGTCTACATAGTGAGTTCCAGGACAGCTGGGACTACAGGGAGACCCTGTCTCAAAAAAGACAAAGAAAAAAAAGAAAAGAAAGAAAGGAAGGAAGGAAGGAGAAAGAAAGAAGGAAAGAAAGAAAGAATACACGAAGTTGTCAGAAAAAAGTAATGGGGAGATATGGGAGGCGTTGGAGGGGAGGGAGTGGGCGTGGATTTGATCAAAACACCTTATATGCATGTATGAAATTCTCAGTAAAGTTGTTTTAAAAGTTTTAAAAAAATTTGGCAATTCCAGGAAAATTCAAACTTTCTAAACCCTATATCAATATGTCAATTAAAAAAACATATACTGTCTGATTAAATAGGTTCAAGTTTACTCAGTGGATTAATATAGTTACTCTGCTGCACATAAAGTGAAGAGAGAGTGTGAAAGCAACAGTTGGGAAGTATCTGTTTACTTATCCTGTGCAGATTTCTTGATTTCAAGACCTTTGCAGATATACTTTTAGAGCAGAGAGCTATTGCAGTGAAGTTGCTTGCAAATAAGGCAATGCTTGAAAGAGAATTTTTAGTTTTGAAGATTATTGGTAAGATCTTCATTAAGAATTTTAGTCAATGATGAAGAAAGGTACATAGTAACATTACTTACTGGACCTGGATTGCTGTGCTAAAAGTTACAATTCTGGCTCCAAGTCTTCAGACATATGGGAAATATATGCTATAGGCCTATCTGTAATATCTCCTTTATCTTACAGGCAGTGGCATAAGGGTGACTTATGTGCACTGGCATTTAAAGTTCTCCATGACAAGCAGCGAGGACCTCTGGTTTTTTTGCGTATTTACTCAGGGACACTAAAACCCCAGTTGGCCATCCATAATATCAATAGAAATTGCACGTAAGTGTAGGTTATTTTCTAAAACTGCATTCATTTATGTAAAAGTATTTTACTAATATAAATCATGGTTTTATAGGGAGAGAATGAGTCGTCTGCTTTTGCCATTTGCTGACCAACACATAGAAATCCCTTCACTGGCTGCCGGTAACATTGCTTTGACTGTTGGGCTTAAACATGTAAGTGACCACATTATTTCTGTAAGAAATCATCTAAATGTTAGTTTAAATATTTTGTAATAGCCGGGCGTGGTGGCGCACGTCTTTAATCCCAGCACTCGGGAGGTAGAGGCAGGTGGATCTCTTTGAGTTCAAGGCCAGCCTGGTCTACATAGTGAGTTCCAGGACAGCTGGGGCTACAGGGAGACCCTGTCTCAAAAAAGACCAAAAAAAAAGAAGAAAAATATTTTGTAATAGCAAAAAATTTATAGTTGATCTAAATGTCTACCATATGAATATAGTGGGATATTCATCAATATGGTTGAATGTCAATTTGCTAGAAAGAAAAGCAAATTACAGAATACCACATACTAGATTATGGTCAGATAAAGTTCAACTCCAAGTAAAATATATCATTTATTCATAATGTATGTGTCTTAAGTTTATTAAAATATTGCTTTATTACCATGGAGATTTTAACGTGCGTGCATGCATGTATGCGCGCGTGTGTGTGTGTGTGTGTGTGTGTGTGTGTGTGTGTGTGTGTGTGTGTGTTTGAGGTAAGTTCTCACCAAGTTGCCCAGGCTTGCCTTGAACTTGCTGTACAGCTCTGGCTGGCCTCAAACTTTTGACTTCCTGCCTTAGCCTCTGGAGTGTTGGCATCAACAGCTGTATGTCACTATGCTTTGTGGGTTTTTACAGATTCTGATCATGGCAGAAAATTTGATCTAGCCTTAAAACTGACCTATAAAGACATTTTGCCAATGAGGGCTCCTTAAGGGCAGTGTATTTTGTTTCTTTTGTTCCCAATTGTCGTCATTCCAGATGTCATCATACCTAGACATTTATACAAGTGGATGAAAATACTTGATGCCACATCTGTTTTTGATGAGTTAAAACTAAGGACATTTTTTTTTTACATGAATTAGGTAAAATGTAGTTTTCTCATTAAACTTTGGTATATCTCATATTGGGATTAAAAATTATTATTTTATTGGGAGGCAGAGGCAGGCAGATGTCTGTGAGTTCAAGGCCAGCCTAGTCTACATAGTGAATTCCAGGACAGCTGGGGCTACAGGGAGACCCTGTCTCAAAAAGACAAAAAAAAAAAAAATTGTTACTTTAACATTTTAACTCTTCATGATTGATTGCAACTTTCAGAGTTGTTTGGTAGAAAATTCCCATAGTCTGAATATTATATTTCGGATATTAAAATGTCCTGTCCATCTATATAAAGGCAGAACCTGCTCCTTGTACATGTTGGAAGGAGCTCATCAAATGTTTGCAGTATTGCTTTAATAGAACTGTCATTACAGAGAGGAAAACTGGCACTGAACTTGATGATGTAGCAGATTAAAAGTAAAATTGTAGTTTTAGCCAGGCCTGGTAGCACACGCCTTTAATCCCAGCACTCAGGAGGCAGAGGCAGGTGGATCTCTGTTTGTTCAAGGCCAGTTTGGTCTACATAGTGCTAGGGCTACAGGGAGACCCTGTCTCAAAAAGACAAAGAAATTGTAGTTTTAAAGAATTACTGATTTTTACATACTGTTCATATTATATATTAATGTGTGTCTTGTTTATTTAAAATATTGTTTTATTCCCTTGGAGCTTTTACCTCCGTGTGTGTGTGTGTGTGTGTGTGTGTGTGTGTGTGTGTGTGTGTGTGTGTTTCTGTTTAAGTGAATATTTGATTTAATAGAGAATTTTCTATATAGTATTAATTGTCAATTCTGGAAATATCCAGCCATCATAATATTTAATGAATTCTTAAAACATTTAATAGACATTTTGAATCTGACTTGCCACATTGGGAAATTTAGGCAAATACATTTGTTTGCCAAATCAGATTTGATGTGTATCATAAGTAATATTTCATTATTTGTTAGAATTTATTATAGAGCCAGGTGTGGTGGTGCATGCCTTTAATCCCAAAACTTGAGAAGCAGAGGCAGGTGGATCTCTGAGTAGGAGGCCAGCCTGGTCTACATAGTGAGTTCCAGGTCAGCTGGGGCTACAGGGAGACCCTGTCTTAAAAGAGACAAAAACAAAAAAAATTTAAAACATGAGCTAATAAACATGTTTTGCTGGGTGTGTTCGTGCACACCTTTAATCCCAGCACTTGGGAGGCAGAGGCAGGTGGATCTCTGTGAGTTTGAGGCCATCCTGGTCTACATAGCAAGTTCCAGGTAAGCTAGGGCTACAGGGGGACCCTGTCTTAAAAACATAAATAAATAAATAAATAAATAAATAAATAAATAAATAAATAAATAAATAAATAAATTATTATAGTTGTATTTTGGATGGAATGCTTTTTTTAAAATATTCTATTTTTATGTGTATGAGTGTATTCCCTGGTAATGGCACTTGTGTTGTGCAGTGCCCACGGAAGTCAGAAGAGGGTGTCAGATCTCTTGGAACTGGAGTTATGGACAGTTGTTAGCCACCATGTGGGTGCTAGGAATCGAAACCCAGGTCCTCTGCAAGAGCAGCCAGTGCTCTTAACCACTGAGACATGTGTCCAGTCCCTGGATGGAATCTTGTACAAGTTAAATGAGCTTCATGTACACAAAGTCACAAGATTTATGAATTTATGTCTCTTAATTTCTAATGAGAAGAAAGTGCCACATTAAACTCTGTCTTATGATTTTTGGGTGGAAGATGAGTGCTAGTCAAGAACCTGTTTGGTTCCAAGTTGTCTTTTTTTGTTTGCAGACTGCCACTGGAGACACCATTGTCTCTTCCAAGTCCAGTGCATTAGCTGCAGTCCGTCAAGCAGAAAGAGGAGGAAAAAAGAACAGGCAAAGCAGTGAAGAAGCAGAGAGGCTTTTGTTGGCTGGGGTGGAGATTCCAGAACCTGTTTTCTTCTGTACCATAGAACCCCCATCAATGGCCAAGCAGCCAGGTACAAATGATGTTGGTATATCGATTAGTTAGTGCTTTGGTAGCTTATGCTGAAATAGTTATACCCTTCTAAGGTTTCTTAAGTGATTGAGTTAAATTTTACTTGAACTTATTGGTCACATTTCTTATTATTAGTGTAGGTTTTTACTTAAGGTCGTTTGATTTTTACAAACTCCATATATATCTCAGCCATTTTTCTCATTTCACATTCTTCCTCACTCTTGTTCTTACAGTGCTGTCTATGGGATTCCAAGTAGCTGGCCTTAGACCTGCCTTCCTAGTGTATTAGATTAAGTAGTAAATGGTTTATAGCTACTTCTCTTTCTCATATATAAAAATATGAAGTAGTTCTGATTTTTCTGAAGATGGTTTGCCCTTTTTGCATTGTGATTTCTTTTAATCTATTCTTGCTTGTATTATAATAGTTTTCCCTAAGCATGTCTGTCTTAAATTCTTTAAGTCTTAGATAAAGCATCAACTTTTTTTTTTAATATTTTATTATTTTTATTTTATGTGTATGCATGTATTGCCTGCATGTAGGTGAGTGCACCGTGTTGTGCAGTGCCCTCGGAGAATAGAAGAGGCTGTCGGATCCCCTGGGACTGGAGTTATGGACAGTTGTTAGCTGCCATGTGGGTGCTGGGATTTGAACCCAGGTCTTCTGCAAGAACGGTTGGTGTTCTTATCAGCTGTGCCACCTCTCCAGCCCCTAAAGCATCAACTCTTTATGAGGCACTCAATGACTTATATGAATCCCACTTAAGGACAAACCTTCTAGTTGTGCCCCCCCACCCCCACACAAGTTGGACTCATACATATATCTTCCAATAGGAAAGAAACAAAATCTCTAGCCGAGTAGAATTCCAGTTCCTCACCTACTCACATGGCGTTCACATGGAAGAAATTTAAGTGCAGATGTACAACCCCAGTAATGAAGGAGAACTGGGGCTTTGTCTGGTTGCTGAAGGAACAGCATAAGACAGATGCAGCAAAATCTCAAACCTGAAATGCAGGAAATCTGAACATTTCTCATCTCAAGCATTTTAGATAAGAGGTCTTCCTCCTGTGTTATCATTTTAACATGAAGAAATATAGAGTATTAATGAAATATTCCATATTCTTTTTTCATATTTAGTCTTTGAAATCTGGTGTGCGTTTTACATTTACAGCACCTGCTAATGCAGACTCGTAATGCCTATAAATGGCTACTGACTGGACAGCTCAGGTCTAAAAATGCTTTGAATGTGTACCTGATGAGGCTAGCTCATTAATATAGTTCAACTCTTTAGCTATACTTTTCAGTCTGCACCTTCCAACATTTATCTTTTCTAAAGAAGGCAAGCATGTTTATCAGTGAACTTTATTAAGAATCCTTACTCCATGTGGCATATTTAATACAAGTAATTTATTTTCGGTTCTTCTGTGATTGTGATAAATCACCACAGTGACCATACTCTTACCTGGTTATTCAGATGTAATTTGTCCTTTTGCCAGCTCCTAGCTTGGTCTTTACAAAATATAACCAGATGATGTCACTGCCCCTCTCAGACTCCTTCAGGGACCTCCCAGTGCAAACCTACACTTTTCCCCACGGTGTACAGACAGTATATGATCTCCTTGCTGCATCTCCCTTCTCATCTGATGCTGCTCCTCATTGGCTGATGTCTGGCTTCTGGCCTGGTTGCTGCTTTATCAATCATTCTGGAGATGTCCCACATCCCTCAGTCTTAGGTAGCGTCTCATCACCATTGTGCCACCTTACTTTATTCTCTGTACAACATTTATGGCTGTTGGAAGTTTTCTTTTTTCAAAATGTACTTGCTTGTTCATCTATGTTCTTCACTTAGAACATACTCCAAGCTATCTAGAAATGGAGTGTAAAGATAGCAGGTATTGTTTATCCCCTAGATTTGGATCATGCATTGAAATGCCTTCAGCGTGAGGATCCCAGTTTGAAAGTGAGGCTAGATCCGGACTCTGGACAAGTATGTATGTTATTACTCAACCCCTAAAAAAGTGTGTGTGTGATGAGCATGCATATATCTAAAACACTGATAAGTCTATGCTCCAGAAAGAAAAAGCTCTGATTCATAGTATAAATTTCTGATTCTGTACATTGTCAGTCTTAATAAATTCTCTTCAATTTTCTAAAATAATTACATTTCACATATACGAACCACTCCCCGGTATTTTTGGTTCTCCATAATACAGGGTTTTATGAAGTTTTGAAATAAGGTTCAATTCTTAAGACAAAGCCTTAGGTCTCTTACACAAACACTTGTAGATGGATCATACTAAAAGGAGGTGCTCCTAAGTGACACCAGCACAACTAAAATGGATGTATGATAGATTGCAGTCTGACAGTGTGAGGGAGGTAAGGCTCTACAGCAGATGCAGAACTCTGGTGCGCTCAGAAAAGAGCAGAGGTTCTGGATGCCTCAAGAAAAAGACTAGATAATGTTAATTTAGTAGTGCGCATGCGCACATGTGCATGCATACCTGTATGTGTGTGTGTGTGTGTGTGTGTGTGTTATGTGTACACATGTGCGGTGCATGCACCTATACCAGAAGAGGGCATTGGGTGTTTTCTATCACTCTTCGCCTTTTCCCTTGAGGCAGGGTCTCTCCCTGAACCTAGAGTTTGCATTTTGTCTTAAGCTGGAAGCCAGCAAAACCCAATGATCCTCCTACCTCTGCCCTCCTTGGAACTGGGGTTTTCGGCATGTGTGGGACACTTCATTTGTTAAGTAGGGACTGGGATCCAAACTCTACTCTTCATGATTGCTCAGCAAGTGCTTTTAACTGCCTAGCCATCTCTCCAGTCCTGACAATACATTATTAATAGGAAATGATATATAATTATACCTATTAAGAAAAGAGTAGCAGTCTCATGCCAAGTAATCCCTTTTTTAAACAAAATTATGATTACAGTTTTAGTATAACAAAAGAATAAAAATTTAGAACCAAAGGAGGAAGAAAACAGGGCAATGTCTGAGTTCTAATCACAAAAGTCCCTCCATTCTCAGGGACAGGCTGTCCTTCCAGCAGAGAGTACTGCCAACCAGAAAGGCTCATCTAAGCATTGTAAGTCAGTTTGTATTGGGATTTGGTCACATCCTGGCTGTGTAGTTGACCTTTAGTCGCCACCCTTCCCATAGGTTTGGGCTAATACCTTTACTCTAGTTTCTCTGAAGGTCAGAATTTCTAAGTTGTACTTCAAAGTCCACATCATACATCACATTGTTAGATTGGTGAACAAAGCCACCAAAGACATTTCAGTCACATAGGACGTTCTTGGAGCCTTAAGATATTTTCCCAGTGCCTTCTCTGGGTGCATTCCACTGATAACATATGAAAAAGATAGAGCATATATGTTCACTTTGCACTGTGGTCTTTCTCAGACACAAAGAACATCTTTAGTATAATACGTGTTAAAAAGAAAAATATTATCTCATTGGTTTTGATGAAAATTTGCCTGTCTTAACAGGACCCAAAACTCTTAAGAGTCAGTTTCTCTTTTACATGCAGGTTCAAACTAGCCTACAGGTTGTCACTGACTAGAAACTACAGGTACCTAGAACATTTAGGAAATACTCATTCAGTTGGGAAATGTTTTAGGGGGACGTTGTTTCCCTCATTCACAAGATATTGCCCTCGGAATTTCAAGACATTTGCCTACTTCATTAAGAGAAGAGTTTTGGGGGGCTGGAGAGATGGTACAGAGGTTAAGAGTACTTGCTGAGCTTGCAGAAGACCCAGGTTCAGTTCCCAGCACCCACATGGCAGCTAGCAACTATCTGTAACTCCAGTTCCAGGTGATGCAACAACATGTTCTTCTGGTCTCTTTGAGTGTTGCTACATGGCACAGGTGCATTTACATACACATAGGCAAAATGCTCATATACATAAAAATAAAAATGCTGTACACACCTTATTACCTGGATTCGATCTCTGGAACCTATGTAAGGGTGGAAAGAGAACCAAATTCTCATAGTTGTCCTCTGACCTCCACACGTGCACCCCCACCGCATCATACACACATACAATAATAAAAAAGAATGGCACAATCCATAAGTGGTAAATATTAATTGTACTCTTGTTGCATAGGCGTTGGGGAATGATAATGGAGCTATCATAGAAGGAGAGAATGCCCCAGAAATTCACTGTAATTGATTTATTATCCTAGTCAAAAGTCAGAAGCAGTGTTTTCATATGAGCCCACCCAGAAAAATTGCAAAAGCAACTCAGTTGTAATTAATGGAAATTTACCCAAAATATTTTATTATTTATATTTTATGTGTATGCATGTATTGCCTGCATGTAGGTGAGTGCACCCATGTCGTGCAATGCCCACAGAGGTCAGAAGAGGTGGTCAGATCCCCTGGAACTGGAGTTATGGACAGTTGTTAGCGGCCATGTGGGTCTTCTGCAAGAACATTTGGTGTTCTTAACTGCTTAGCCATCTCTCCAGCCCTGAAAACTTATTTAAATAGGCTAACATCATTCCTTTATATTACATTTTCTTCCCTTGTATAGTATTTTGTTTTATTTTCTCCCTTTTACAACCAGACCATCCTGTGTGGTATGGGAGAGTTACATATTGAGATTATCCATGAACGGATCAAGAGAGAATATGGTCTAGAAACCTATCTAGGGCCTCTGCAAGTGGCATACCGGGAGACTGTCCTAAACTCAGTTCGTACCACAGGTAAAAAATAAAATATTTTGAACTTTCTGGTTTGTTCAGTGTTTAGTTGTGTAAAATAGTGTTCACGGTCTCTGGTGTCCTCTACCAGAGTTTCCTGTCTCCACAGTAAACTGTCCTCCACAGTTTTACTGTGTATAGATTTTTTTATTTTGTTTTAAATACAGAAAGCCTTGTGCCAGCACCACCCAGAAAAATGTGCTTATCAGTGGTTATGGGACACGGTAGACCAGTGAAGTAGATGGCCTCTCCCAGCTTGAGTAGAATTAAGTCAGTGTCTCATTTTTATTTTGTAAAGTGAGTAAAAAATTCTGCTATTAAATGTGGTGCTCCTATGCTGATAGTATTCTTGAGAAAGTACAGTTTTATATTTCTATTCTGAAATGTAGGCACAGCTTTTCTACATTTGGCTTCCTTAAGCAAAATTAACAACATGTACTATTCAACTCCAAGGAAAATACCAGGACAGGTTTGTGAAATAGTATAGAAAAGAGATGTTTAGGATAAGCAGATCCTCTTAAACACCTCAGAAATGTAAAAAGTCTGGATGATTACATTTCACTGAAACTTGAAAATTAAACAAGTATAGATGCAGGTGAAACAGAAATTCTGTTTCTGGGCTATATAGCTAGAACAACAAAAATGCAAGATAAATATATAAATAACCTTTTTTAAAATTGTATGTGTATGAGCGTATTGCCTGAATGTATGTAAGCGTACCCATGTCGTGCACTGCCTGCAGAGGTCAGAAGAGAGCATCAGACCCTCTGGAACTGGAGTTAATGGATGATTGTTAGCCCCCATATGGGTGCTGGGAACAGAACCTGGGTCCTCTGCAAGAGCAACCAGTGCTCTTAACCACTGAGCCATCTCTCCAGCTCCATAATCTTTTAAATTAATGTCTGAGCTAGTTAAAATGTAAGAAATTGCCAGAGGTTTTAAAAGAAGAGGGAGGAGGAATCTAGGACAGTAAATGAGCACTCTGTCAACTGCCATCTCTGTCACAGCATCAGAGAGGCCCATAACCTCACAGAGAGAGTTGACCTGGAGGAATATTCTCTACAGAGGCAGAAGGCAAGAAAACCTGTCTGGATGTGGGATCAGTGTTGAATATCAGAATTGGTCATCACAAGCTTCTCATACAGGTTTTGAAGCCTAAATTCACAGAACCAGTATGGCTTGAGAAACTTTAAGGAGAGTTTAGTGTTGCATACTCATGGAGTGGTAGTATCCCAAGGAACCTGGAAAAAACAAAGGGCCTCTCCAGAAAATGTATCTCAACCCAGGCCTCAAGAAAATCCCACAGATAAGACTATGCAAGAGGCAGGCATAGTGGCACACGCCTTTAATCCCAGCACTTGGGAGGCAAAGGCAGGCAGGCAGATCTTTGAGTTCAAGCCCCAGCCTGGTCTATATAGTGAGTTCCAGGCCAGCTGGGCTTAAAAAGAGACCCTTTCTCAAAAAGACGAGAGAGAGAGAGAGAGAGAGAGAGAGAGAGAGAGAGAGAGAGAATGCTTCACTGCCAAATACGGATTCATTGAAAATCTGGAGAGATGATTCAGTGGTTAAGAGCACTGACTGCTCTTGCAGAGGGCCCGGGTTCGATTCCCAGCACCCACATGGTGGCTTCAAACTTTCCTTAACTTAACCATCCTTAGACTGTTCAGGGAATCCGAAGCCCTCTTCTGACCTCTGCGGCATTGCACGACATGGGTGCACTCACACACATGCAGGCAATACACTCATACACATAAAATAAAAATGATAATATTTTCTAAAAAAAGAAAATCAAGAGATAAGGAAGTACAATAGTTGCAGACTGCTGAGGGAAAAGGTGAACTCAGAAGTCTGTACTGATGATCAGAAAAACAAAAAAAGAGGGTGGGTGTTCCTTATAGTAGGATGCCAGGTGCGTGCTGAAAGTGTTAGAGGATCATGGCTAGAATGGGGAACAGCTTGGTGTTTCAAAAGTGTGGCGCAGGAAAGGAAGTTGCAGAATAAACAGTATAACAGATGTAAAACTAAACAGACATAAATTTGATGGGGATATATGGAGATGCAATCAAACTCAAGAAAACATGGGAATGATTGCTTATGACTCGTTCTTCAGAAAGCTTCTACGTATTGGTAATTTGTTTCTTTACTAATTCCAGGTTTCATGAATATTCATTTTATTTTTAACTTTGCTTATATATACATTCAAAAATATTTCATAGAAGTGAACTCAAAAAGGAGTTGTGAAGGCTTATAGGTTATAATCAGTTCTTAGTTTTGAATTTGGAATGAGTTACTGTGTTACATTGCCACTCAAATATAGCACAGTTTGATTTTAGTAGAATTTTGGTAACAGCTGTTGGTTGTTAGGAATGAGTGCTATGTGGACATAGCTCAGTTGTAAGACTAGCTTGTACAACCCTCTGGGTTCAATCCCTAGCACTTAAAAAGAAGAAAAAGAATAAGGAGCTACTCTTTCAATCTTGCAAAAAGTATTCTACTAGTGTTATGGGGAAAGAAACATTAAGAACAATATTGCTGAAAAGATATATGAAATATAACAATTTATAATTTGGAAGATGTAAGTCTTAGTTGTTATCAGCTGGTTTCATCCTTTAGCTGTATACTTTGAGTATTACTTTTTAATAAAACAATTTCAATCACAAATGCTTTGAAAAGCTTAAAAGTATAATCTTCATACCATGTGCCTCAACAAAGCAACATTAACTGGTGATTTGGAGCAAGTTTCTAACATTGATGAACACAGAGATGCTTTTTTTTTTTTTTTTTTTCTCGTCTTTTTGAGACAGGGTCTCCCTGTAGCCCCAGCTGGAACTATGTAGACCAGGCTGACAAAGATCCACCTGCCTCTGCCTCCCAAGTGCTGGGATTAAAGGCTTGTACCACTACGCCTGGCCTGGGCTGGAGGGATAGTGCAGCCCTTAAAAGCTAAGGCTAACAACTAATACATAGAAGATGCTTTTTACTTAATAGAGCTATTTGATTTTTTACACTGTATTTAGTATTATTATTGAATAGAATTTGAGATTGAATGTAATTTTGCCAATTTTGATATCCTAACACCTTTCCAGAACAAATAGCACTATCTTCAATTTGCTTGTTTTCAGATACCTTAGACAGAACGTTAGGAGATAAACGGCATCTTGTGACAGTAGAGCTGGAAGCAGGACCAGCAGAAGCAACATCTGTCGTGCCAGTGATTGCGTACGCTGAGAGCATCAGCGAGGACCTTCTGCAGGCATCCCAAGAGGTTATTGAAAATGGAATCCACAGTGCATGCCTCCAGGGTCAGTACTCAAGTAAAACTAAGCATAGTCTCCCCTGGACCATTTACTTTCCCCTTTTTCCCCCATGCCTCAGGTTTGAGCCCTGGGTCTTGCACAGGCCAGCACGTGCTTGACCACTCTACACCCTTAGCCTCCTAATTCCGTATTTTACTGATTATTTCAAACTTTTCCTAACTTTGCTAATGTTTTCTCTGTATTTCTTTGTACTTCTGTTATATTTTGAATTATTCTTTATTATCGTTTTATTTATACTATTCTGTTTTATTTTACCCCTTACTTAGGACCTTTACTTGGATCCCCAGTTCAGGATGTGGCAATTACTTTACATTCAGTGATAATTCATCCTGGTACCTCCATGACTATGGTTTCTGCCTGTGTCTCAAGATGTGTTCAAAAGGTATAGGACAGTCTTAAGCCTTCTGCTAAGAGGGAACTACACTGAGTACAGCACCATTGATTTCATGAGCAGCTGTGCTCCTAGAGCATGACCTTATATCCTTGCCTCCTGGGTCTTCTAGTGAGCAAGAGCTCTTCCTGAAGAGAATCAAACAAAAAGAATTGCTAGAGCCCTAGGCTCAAGAGTATGGAAAATATTTCAGTTTTTATGTGTCTTGCTTTTCCTGTAGTAGAAATTTGATTTTCAACTTAGGAAAGAGAGTTTTGCATTCCCCAATCCTTTTAGGCCCTGAAGAAAGCTGAGAAGCAAATATTGGAGCCTCTGATGCATCTTGAAGTCACAGTGGCTACAGATTACCTCAGCCCTGTCCTGGCAGATCTGGCACAAAGAAGAGGGAACATTCAGGAAATCCAAACTCGCCAGGACAACAAAGTTGTTATTGGATTTGTTCCTTTAGCAGAAATTATGGTAGGTACTTTGGGATTGAAATGTGCATATTCTTTAATATAGGAGGTGTACTCCAAGTAAAACTAGGTGGTCACAAATACCTAAAAGCATTAGGACTTGGGTTTAGAAAATGTATGCTTAAGTTTCAGCCACCAGGAATGGATAGGACTTTGGACTTCGGTTTTGGGGGAGATCCAGGAACACAGCACTTCAAGAGGGTTATTTCCAACACTAGGACCACAGAGGTTAAGGAATACTATACTAAAATGTGGTCAGTCTGGATGACTTTTTTCTTTCTTCCCCAACCATGCCTTTCTGTGGTTGGACAGGCACCAGGATACCAGCAGACTAAGTAGGATGACAGAGTCAGTTTGGCAAATTATTGGGCCTCAGAATGTATGTGCAGCCAGCCTACCCTAGGCTGTTTTCCAGTTTGCCACAAAATTTCCTTAACCAATTTTTTCTAAAAAGATCTGGAGGAAATAATATGGCTAAGTCTCATCACTACCTTGCTCTGATATGGTCAAAAGGTAATTAGGATGAGAAATCTAGGGCTTATATTAGATGCAGTAACAAACTGAAATTATTTTCATTAGGGTTATTCAACTGTGCTTCGAACACTAACATCAGGCTCAGCTACTTTTGCTTTAGAATTATCTACTTATCAAGCCATGAGTCCTCAAGACCAAAATTCACTGCTCAACCAGAGAAGCAGCACCTTTTAGGTTCTTAGAAATGCAAAGAAATGCTGGGACACTTGCCTGCTTCACTCTTGGTGAGAATACTGTATTCATTGGACAATGAACGACTACTTCGGTTTAAGGAAATGACTTGAAAGCTGTAACATGCATGTTTCCACAAGGAGTACACTTGAAACGCTCCATCCTTTGAAGGTATTTTTGGTGAGGTGCAGCCCTTTGCAGTGTTGTGAGTGGCATCACAAGGCTTTCCTTTTATTTTTTAAGTTTCTCTCATAAGAAAGGTGCCCATCTTCAGTGTGTAATACAGGTAGAGATTTAATCAATAAAAAGATGGTTTGTTAAAAAGTCTACCAGAAGGAATTGTATTAGTCCAGAAACCTACTGAAAAATTACACATACAATATGGGTCTGTGAGTATAGCTGAAGATTACATAACAAGAAACAGTGCCAGACAGGCGAAACCATCCTTTGAGTTGTTGGCCAGGGTAGTTCAAGAGACTCCCAAAATTACACAGGCTATTGCCACAGTTCTTGATTGCCTCCCAGAACTTGGTGGTAAGACCCTATTGCTGAAGATGGACGTACTTTGGACACAGGATCTGGAGCAATGGAGCTGGAACTGACTTGGAAGCCACCTCCCCTGAAGGCTAGCTTTCAGTGCTTTGGAGAGTACTACAAAGCTGGTAAGGGAGAACATCAGTTGATGGTCCAGCCCTAGCTTCAAAGGCCTGAAAACCACAGTGACCAGCACAGCAAACGACACTTGTGCAGTAGTAGCACTTTTATCTTGGGGGGTAATCAACAGCTGCCTAATTGGACTTAAAAGTCCACTCAATGGGAGGAAGCTTATGCATGGGACTGTTATCCTAGCCAAATATACATAGCTGGAGAGGTTATAGATCTTAGAAAACCCCAAGGTTCTTATATCCCTAGACAAATGTAATTTATTACTATGTGCAAAATATGGATCCTTAAATTTACAGACAAGTATCCTAGTCGCCACCCATCAATGTAGCTTCTTTTTCAATGGAGATTATTACAGTTACACCACTGGTCACACAGATTTTTCTGTGAGTTGCCCAAGTCTTAAGTGGCACATCCAGGATGCAGTGTCTACACCTAAGACTCACAGAACGTAGAACGAGGAATGAAGAAAACACTAATGCATCTTTCAGTTCTCATCAATGAAGCTCCCTCATGTAACAGAGGGTCAGGAAGGTCACAAATGGCCAAAACACAGGGAATAAGAGTCAGCAGAGTGTGGGTCCTTAGGATTCCTATATTGAGGTCCACGCACCCAGGGCTCAGGGACCATTGCAGAAGAGGGGGCAGAAAGATTATAAGAGCCAGAGAGGAGGTGCAGGACCATACAGAAATAGTCCTACAGGTGCCTGGGACCCTTCTCATACAAACCTGCAACAATGGTGTCAGCATGCACAAGACCCATGCAAACTTAGGCAGACAAAAACCCAGCGTAGAACTGGAAATGAACAGCAAGCCCCAACTGTATTTGAAGAATTATAGGCAGCTGATTACTGCTGGGTGAGGAAGAGCTGATCTTGAAGGGAGAGACTAGACAGACTGACTAAATTCCTGTGAACGAACTTGCACTGAGGGACATCTCAGGACACTTAACTTTACATAATAGGCCTTAATACAAATGACAATGTATGAACTTGGGGTGGGGTGAAGATTTTATGTATGAAATACACAAAAATTCAATAAAAATTTTATTTAAAAAAAAGTCTTAACATCTTATTTGCATGCATGATTTTTGTGTGTGTGTGTGTGTGTGTGTGTTTTTGAGACAGGGTCTCCCTGTAGCCCCAGCTGGCTTGGAACTCAGAGATCTACCTGCCTCTGCCTGGGATTAAAGGTGTGCACCACTACAGCTGGCACATGATTTCTTAATTTACGTGATTTCAAAATCAAGATGATAGTTTGGATTCAGTAGCCTTTTCCCTCCTTTTTTTTTTTCTGTTCAGTTTTCCATTTTATTCTCATATTTAGGACAATATCCAGTAAAAAGAGGTTGTGCAGCTATTCCACGTCTGTAGACAGATAACATGAAAAAAAAAGATGTTTTAGATTGGTAGAACCTCCTTCTTGAATTCACTTTAGTGATTTTCCCCCTTTTCTGTAATTAATGCTATAATTCTGCTTTAAGCTACTAACTTCTTTATCAATGCAATTTGAAAGTCCAAATAATAATAAGTTATTCCCTCACCTACAATAATTAATTCCCAATTTCTACCAATGAAATTACCACTGCCTTGGTAACATAAAACAAAAAGCTATTTAACACAGAGTGTTGGACTTAAAGAGTATATACTGTGAAAAGTATCCTCTCACCTGATCATTCTGCAGCGGTGTATGGCCAGTCTGTTGTAGGCATCCTGTACATCAGTGACATTTTGAGGACTCCAGAGTCTCTCACCAACAGCACTTGCCCGAGGCCTGAAATTTAAACCATGTATATTCCAAAGCAGTGTAGATCCCTGTTTCTTAGGTCATACATATGAGGAATTTTTAGTGCTTTCTTACGTGCTTGGAAAACAAAAGCCAGGGCATCTTTTAACTCAAATATTACTACTTTAATTCCTTACCATAATCTTGGAATAATATTAGTTGCATCCACATATTCTCCCCAGAGGCAAGCTTCTCCACCAATGACAAGTTGTTTCTGCTTCTTAGAACCTACATTAAAACGATTAAGGGATATAAATTGAGCAGTACAGGGCTTGTACCACAGGCAATGCCAGTACCCTTTCCATGCTCATCCTCCGTTACCTTCCCATATTCTTCCTGTAGGCAGCAGAGCCTTTAAAATTTCCACCTTAGTTCACAGTGCTTGTCAGCAACAGAGTAATGCAGTGGGCCAGGATTAGATACTTTTTTCATTTGGTTCTGTACATACTTATTTGGACACCATATTCAATCCCTGCCCCCACTGCCTGTTAATGGTATGCCAGGAAACACAAGTTGGAATATTAGTTTCATTTTAATAAGCTGTGGCCACTATACCTGTCTTTGATTTCTGCTACTTAGTATTAGAAAATGCTGAAATTGAAGTGTGAAAAGCAAACCCATGAAAATGGAGGCAAAATACTTTTGTATTTCTTTCATTTAGACTGGTACATGGTTTTTTTCAATACTTTCCTAAATTTATAGTAAAAGCCGGGCATAATGGCGTACACCTTTAATCCCAGTACTTGGGAGGCAGAAGCAGGCAGATCTCTGAGTTCAAGTCCAGCTTGGTCTACATAGCCAGGCCAGCTGGAGCTACAGAGAGATGCTGTCTCAAAAAAAAAAGTTTTGTTTTTTTGTTTTTAATTAAAGATCAGGCATAAGAGAGAGACTAGTTAGGAATCCAGGTTGGACTTAAGAGGGAGGGGTGGGAAGTATGGAAGAAAACTTGATAGACCAAGGCAAGGGTGTTGCTTCACTCACCTTCAAAATTAAGAGGATCGACTTTATAATATTTTGTCCAGTCTTGCCCATAGCTAATCAGATCTAAGTACCAAGGAGCAGAAAGGATTACAGGGAAGCCAGATGCTGTTACAACACTCAGTTCCTCAAAATAATTGTCACTTTTCCACACTTCAACTGTTGTGCCTGGCTGAAGCTAGCAAAGATACAAATTGCAATTAATATCATTAGGCAGAGCAGATACAATGGTATTAGCAGTCGAAGGCATTTGTGATCAATAACTTTCTAAGACCTTGGAAAAAGCATACATTTTATTCTTTTCTTCTTTCCCCTAAGAGTCAGTGTCATGCAATTCACTGTACTTTTTCAGTGCTATTTCAGTTTCATCAACCTTTAAAATTGGCTATTTGACTTTTAAAAAGTGTTGAGTGTTATGCCTGGATGAGTGTGAGTTATGGACAGTTAGTTAGCTGGGATTTGAACCCAGGTCTTCTGCAAGAATTGCCAGTGCTCTTAACTGCTAAGCCATCTCTCCAGCCCCTTGATTTTTTTCTGAGGTTCTTTTATGTGTATGAGTGTTTTGCCTATAGGTTTGTAAGTGCACAATGTATATGCAGTGCCCACAGAGGCCAGAGAGGACATCTGATCCCTCTGGAACTGGAGTTAAAAACAATTGTGATCTACCATGTAGGGGTTGAGAACTGAACCTGCACCCTCTGCAAGAGCAGCCAGTGCTCTAACTGCTAAGCCATCTCTCCAGCCCCACTATTTGACTTTTAACTATTGATAACACCTCAGAGCTTTGAAAAAATAATGGTAAGATTTGCACTTTATTGGTCCCATTTCAACCATGCTAATATTTTACTTAATTTGAAACCATGAGGCTACCACCACCTCTTTTAGAAAGGTAATACTAGTAGTGCAGATCCCAAATATTTCCCAAATGTGTACACTGATGATTTAACCTCTTTTAAAACCACCTAACGCTGGGGCTGGAGAAATGGCTCAGGGTTAAGAACACTGGTTGTTCTTACAAAAGACCCGGGTTCGAATCCCAGCACCCACATGGCAGCTAACAACTGTCTGTAACTCCAGTCCCAGGGGATCCGACAGCCTCTTCTGACCTCCTCGGGCATTGCATGACACAGGTGCACTTAACTACATGCAGGCAATACATGCATACACATAAAAATTAAAAAACACCTAACCCCAATATTTTTTTAAGAAACCTCATTTTTTATCTGTCCTGCAAAGAAGGGGGGCAGGGAGAAGTGAACAGAAGAGGAGAAGGAACAATTCAAAATACTGTAACTACTGAGTAATCATAAGAAAGCAGAAGCTGGAGAAAGAAACCAGAAGAAAACATGAAGTCATTCATATTACTGATGGGAGTTTTGTATGCATGGCATAGGTACACGTGTGTGTATGGGAGGAAGAGGTTACAGAGAGGCCATAGGTGAACAGTGGGTGTCCTGCTTGATTCTCTGCCTTATTCCCATCAGACTGGGTCTCTCACTGAACCTGGAGCCTCCTGTTTCATATTCCCCATCACCACCTCCAGTATTGGGGTTACTGATACACACAAGGCCATGCCTGACTTAATTTTAAAAGTTTGTTCTTTGACAATTCCATACATGTATATAAATGCATTCTGATTACTCTCTTCCTCTACCCTTTCTTCCTTGCATCCCTACCAACCCCAACCCCACCCCCTACCAGTCCCTTTCCCAGATTCATGATTTCTGGTTTTGTTTTGTGACCCATTTAATTTAATCAGGGCCATTTGTGTGACTGACTATTGGACTAGAACTATCCATTGGAACCTGGTGGGGTCACCAGTAGGTAGACAACTGAGGGCAGTGATTCCCCCTTTCCTTGGATCTATCAGTAGCAAACAGTTCCCCAGTGGAGGGTGGAGTCACCTAAGCCTATGCCTGTTGATGGAATGCCTGACTTTTTTAAGTAGATGCTGAGGACCAAACTCAGGTACTCATGCTTGCATTGCAAGCAGTCTTACCCGCCGAGCCATCTCTCCAGCCCCCAGATGGAGTCTTCACAGTTCTTACCTCTACTCTATTATCAAAAACCTCTTGCCAAACAATGGAGCTCTTGTTTAAGGTTGTAACAATATCCAAAATCCTAACATTGGAAAAAATTACAGGTCACAAGCTTAACACATGTAAAACATGCAACGTTTTCTACCAAGAATTACTTGTAATACTGAGAGGTGCCTCTCAGTATAACATAGCTATACAGAAAACAACTAAAATTAGGTCACTTGCTAGGTAGGGAGATAGGAAAAGGTTATAGGGACATGGGAAATGCAAAGAGCCCCTCCACCACCTGAGAGGTAGGTTTGTCTTTTGCTGACCAAGTCCACATGGCTGATTAGAGACTGGAAAATTTTTTTTAAAAGGATGTGAAACTCTATGTGGTCCATGAAGCTTAAGACTCTGGTCCCTTATGGAAAAAGTTTGTTGATTGAGTCATAGTACAGAGTAGCCCTGTTCAGTAGAAATTTCTGCCATGATGGAAATGTTCTGTCTTTGTTTTCTAATAAAGTAGCCACCAGACCTGTTGCTGCCAAACATTTGAAATGTGGCCATTGCAACTAAGGACTTCAACTGTCTTTAATTCTAGTTTAATACAAAAAGCCACCTGTGGCTAAAGCTATCTGCTGTACAGTGTAAAAAAGGAGCAAAGGGGCCGGGCGTGGTAGTGCACGCCTTCAATGCCAGCACTTGGGAGGCAGAGGCAGGTGGATCTCTGTGAGTTCAAGACCAGCCTGGTCTACATAGTGAGTTCCAGGCCAGCTGGGGCTACAGGGAGACCCTGTCTCAAAAAAAAAAAAAAAAAAAGGAGCAAATGGATGGTTCAGGAATTGACAGAAGGCAATGAGTTCCAGCAGCTGGATAGTGCCTAAAATGGCAGGAGGCAGGACTCAAGACAGCAGATGACGTCGGTATTTCAACAGTTCACCAACGTAAAGAAAACAGAGCTCATTGCTTCTTTCTTTAGTGACTTCTCATATCTACACTTTGGCAAGGGATGGAGAAAACTTAAAAATAAAGCACAGTTCTAAATTATACCTCAAACTTTTACAAAAAGCATTAATAATTAGGCTTTCAAATGACTTACTTTTTAATATAGAAAGATTCTAGTTGTGTGAAATCCTTGCCGAAGCCTTTTTTCTTCATGAAATTTTGGATGTCTGGATTTGACGCCCTTAAATAAAAAGTGATTAAAATGTTACGAACAGTTTGCTATGCTCAGTTTATTATTTGGAGCAGCACATATCCCTAACATCAGTTATGCAGACTTAAAACTATTAAATTGGAAGTGTGTAAAGGAAGCCTAAAATCTTAATTATGAGTTATCTTAATTTTCCAATGCAGTCTTTTTCAGAGCTGCTTTCCCATTTAAAAAGAAAAACGGCTTTCCGTGCCCTACCCTCCATCTAAAGCTATTTACAAAATTGAAGGATTGTTACTTGAAAAATCTCCCACAGTTGATCATTCTCTTTTTCATTACTGATGTTCTTGTTCCTTACAGTATCCTGTGTTATTTTAAGTCAGAGTCTCACTGTATAGCCCAAGGTGGCCTTAAACTCACAATTCTCCATATTCATCTTCCTGAGTATTGGGATCAGATGACTATTTTTGTTACTGTTGGGCTTTTTTTCTTTTGTCTTTTCTGAAATAGTGTCTGTCTTGCTATAGCCCCAGCTGGCTTGGAACTTGTTATGGAGACCAGGCTAGCCTCCATCTCACAGAGATCTGCCTGTCTCTGCCTCCCAAGTACTGGGATAAAGGCCTGTGCCACCATACCCAGCCTTTTTTCTTGAGACAGTGTTTTACCCTGTACCCCTGGTGGACCTTGACCATGATTACAGGCATGAGCCACTGGCCCAGCTTCTCTTTCCTTTCTTCCTTTCTCTTCCTTTCAGAGTCTCACAGTACTATAGCTCGGTCAAACTCGTTGCAGCTCTCTTGCCTCAACCTCTCCCAAGTGCTGGAACTACAGGTATGCCCAGTTTCTGCCCCTTGATTCTCCTTCATAAGCTTTCTCTTCATTGCACTACTCAAATATACATTCTTTAAAAATAAGCCATCAGGCTGGAGAGATGGCCTAGCGGTTAAGAGCACTGGTTGTTCTTACAGAAGATCTGGGTTCGAATCTCAGCACCCACATGGCATCTAACAACCATCCAGGGGATTAGACACCCTCTTCTGTCCTCCAAGGGTACTGCATGACATGGGTGCACTTAGCACACATGCAGGCAACACACTCATACACATAAAATAAAAATTAAAAAAAATTTTTTTAAGCAGCCATCTTGGGAATTATTGCCCGGCTTAAACTCTTTCAAGCAGAGATGGTACTCTAAATCTTCCCTCTTTCATATGGATCTTCCTATAGCTACACTTCAAGTACAACAATTGAAAATATAGGGGTTTTAGAATCATACCAACATGTAAAGTCCACTTCATCTCCTCCTAAATGAATGAAATGATCTGGAAACACTTCACTGATTTCTTTGAAAAATGTGGCAAAGAATGTGTACGTTGTATTTAGAATAGGGTTTATAGGTCCAACACCTTCTGCCTTCTTTCTTTCATTGTAACATGGTGTCAGAAGGTCTTTCTCACCTAGAAGAAAATACAGATTCACTTTTATAAAGGGTACTAATCAAAAAGTCTTGAATTTGCTGATCATTATGCAAATGATCTAACCATGTAGATGGTCTAACTTTTATGATGATGTTACATTCCAGGAAATCCCATTAGCTGATTCAAAATATCAATAGCCAAAACTGGATTTGACACTAATCTACCAAATACTATCGCTCAGCAGTAGGGTACACTATGCATTTGTGATTATCTGGCTGACAGAAGGCTGGGGCTGGCTAAGGATTATGTCTTTTGAATGCATAGCATTCAAAATTCACAGTATGGTTTCAGAGCATGAATCACTTTAATACCACTTTATGTTTTTGAAGATAGAAGAAATTTTTAAAAATATTTTATTATTTTTATTTTATGTATATGAGTGTTATGCCTGCATGTAGGTAAGTGCACCTGTGTTGTGCAGTGCCTGAGGAGGACAGAAGAGGCTGTCGGATCCCCTGGATCTGGAGTTACGGACAGTTGTTAGCTGCCATGTGGGTGGGTGCTGAGATTTGAACCTGGGTCCAATGCAAGAACAGTCAAGTGTTCTTAACTGCTAAGTCATCTCTCCAGCCCAAGTTATAGGAAATTTTATACAGAAAAGTAACTGTTTTTACCAAGAGCTACTTAGTAATTTCTTCCCAGAAACACAAAAGAGATTGCTTCCTCAATTCTTTATTTCTTTTTCTATCTAGGCTTTGAGATTTTTATCTACTTCAGATATCAACGATATTCAAGTCTTCAGCTTACCTCAACCCTTTTTCTTGAGCTTCAATTGATAATTCAAATTCTCTGCTCAATACAATGAGAAACCCTAGCTGTATTTCAAGCATGACCCAACAAAAACCGAACTCTCTCTTCTCCAATCCCTTCTTGCAGTCTAATTATGGACACCACCTGCCTCTGTTGCTCTTCTTTCTGAAGTCAGTTTCCAAGATCTATGAAACATATTTCTAGACTGTCTCTAGGCTCTGCCTGTTCTGTTCAGTCCCATTATCATCCTCCTGTTCTGGATTTCAGTCTCTTCCCCTTTCTAATATGTGACTTTTACAAAGGTTTTCCTCAAACGGGACCCTCAGAAATCTGCACCGGTGTCCAGGTATGCTGACAAAGCCCACCGTCCTCACCCAAGTCTCCGATGTACTTTTTCAGATTCCCACCTCACTACTGTCCACGTCTACTATGATACTACTGTGTACTGCACAATTATAAATGTTCAGTACTGTGGTATGAACTTTATATTCATTAATTAATCCTTCTAAAAGTTATCTGGCAGCTACTAGTCACACCCTTATTTTACAGGTGAGGAAACTGAAGGGTAAAATGTTATATAACTTTCCCAAGATTTACTTTCCAAATGACAAAAGCAGGATCCAAATGCAAGCTCTCTGGCAGCCCAAGCTCTCTCTCTCTCTCTCTCTCTCTCTCTCTCTCTCTCTCTCTCTCTCTAGTGTTTTTGAGACAGGGTCTGTCTGTGGCCCCAGCTGACCTGAAACTCACTATGTAGACCAGGCTGACCTTGAACTCAGAGAGATCCGCCTGCCTCTGCCTCCCAAGTGCTGGGATTAAAGGCCCATGCCATCATGCCCAGCCTTTTTTCTTGAGACAGTGTTTTACCCTGTACCCCTGGTAGACCTTGACCATGATTACAGGCAGGGCTTCTGCCTCCCAAGTGCTGGGATTAAAGACTCACCACCACACCTGGCCGAGCCCAAGTTCTTAATCACCACCCTGTAGTGTCTCCTAATGTGTTTCACTCTAAGTATACTCTGCGTGCCTTTCCTTGTGCTAGCCCCTCTACCAGAAACATGAGTATGTGCTATTGTTTCTCAAAAGCATGTTGTTTTATCCATAAAACTTTCTGACTTCAGTTATTATGTTCTACTTGCTGAAATCATTTATGTTTCTGTTTCCTCTGATTTTTATGCTAGTATGTAGACAGTGACAACAGACATGAACTAAGTCATGAGATAATTATTGAATCACATTGGTAGAGATCATGCAACCACTGCATAAACCACAATTAAGAACAAAATGTCCAAGCTATAAAATAAGAGACACAGGACCTCGACTGTTCACGTTTATACACTTATAAAACAAACTCCTTACCTTGTCCCCAAGACTGTGTATGTCCAGGGCTATCAAATTCTGGTATAACTCGAATCCCTCGTATCCTGGCATATTCAAGCACCTTATAGACATCACTTGGTGTATAAATATGGGACAAAGAATAGCTTCCCTGTAATCAAGATGTGCAAAATGGATTTGGTCTTAAAAACTGTAAACAATTCTGTTTGCATTTTGCTGGCCTTTTAAAAAGTTATTACAGTGTATTAAATAGTCCATATAACATTGGATGGTTCGTTTAAAAACAATATAGTATCATAGTTTCAGGGGTAGGAAACCTGTAAAAAGGATGTGAAGTTCTACCAAATCACGTGACTCAAAGGATGAAAGCTATGTAGGCGCTTTCATCAAGTTCTAGATTTATGGATGTAACTGTCAGAGCCTCCTGCTTCAAGAATGTCTACTGTCAAGGCTAGAGAGATGATTTCCAGAGGACCGAGTTTAGTTTCCAGCACCCACATTGAGCACCCACATACAGTTCTTGGGATCCAATGCCCACTTCTGGGCTCCGTGGGCACCACTCATACACATGCCTCACACAAATAAAAATAAATATGATGGTGTACTCCTTTAATCCCAGGACTCAGGAGGCAGAGGCAGGGGGATTTCTGTGAGTTCAAGGTCAAATACTCAAAATACAAAAGCAAAAGATGTCTACTATCATGATTCTCTCAATATTATGGAAACATGCAACAAAACAAGCAAAATGTTTGCGTCACAAGTGAAACCTCTAAAAACTACCCTTCCCAATTTTAGAATCAAAACTCGCCCTTCAGTCTCTTTAATTACTATCACCTTAAAAAAATTTCCCCTAAGCTAGAAGTAACTTAATCAGGTTTAAAGATAAATTTAGTGCTTTTGCATCACTTGAAGAATTAGCACTCAATACTGGTTGTGAGAAAAGATTAAGGTCCACGGAAAGATATGGCTTAGCATCTTTCTCAAAATATAGGCTATACATGCTCAAATTCTGGAAAATCTACTTGACCCCCTTAAACTCCCAGATCAAAATACAGGAGGCATGTTGTTAATTGACTCTGTGGGATGTAATCAGCAAAATCTAGACTGGGGAACTATACACCAGGCTCAACAACTAATTTTTTCATTTGTTATTTTTATTTTATGTGTATGAGTGTACTGCCTGCATGTAGGTAAGTGCACCCATGTCGTGCAATGCCCGTGGAGGACAGAATTGACCATCGGATCCCCTGGAACTGGAGTTACAGACAGTTGTTAGCTGCCATGTGGGTACTGGGATTTGAACCTGGGTCTTCTGCAAGAACAACCAGTGTTCTTAACCGCTGAGCCATTTCTCCAGCCCCTCAACAACAGTATTTACAAAGAAAAGAAAAGGGACAACACTTAAAGATTGGAAGAAAATTAGCCAACATATTAACTAGCCATGGTACATGGACTTTGTGTTTCAATGCAAACAAATTTAAAACACGTTTTAAATAGGAAAACACATGTAAATATAAACACCAACTGGCTATCTAGATTATCTGTTAAATTTTTCAGCTGCAATATTAATTTAAAAACAAGGCCTTTTCACAAGTAAAGAATGTCTGGGATTTGATTCAAATACGTGGTGGAAAGGGTAGAATCTGTAGGAGTACAAGTGATACAAAACTGGCCACAATTGGAGCTAGATGAACAAATGGGAACTACTATTTCTGTATATGTTTGCAATTGCACATTAAAAGTAGAACAAAAGCAATCAACAAATAAGAACTCACATCTACTAAGCATTTCAGCCTGTAATAACCATTGGAGTTTTAGAACTGGGGCCAGAGGACAGTCCTGAAAAGGCAGATTAACTTTTCCGCATGTCAGATGCTACTCTGTTTTGCACCCTCAGGGGAGCCTGAGGATAGTCTTCCCAACTCCACTACTCTAGAATAGTCCTGAACACTTGCAGCAGACACCACTAGTGTTTCCTAGGAAAGATCATTGTCTCAAACTGGGTGTCATGGCGCTTGCCTATAATCCCAGCACTTGGAAGGAAGCAGGAGGATCAGAATTTCAAAACCAGCCTGTGATACATGAAACCCTGTCTCAAATAAAATTCTCATCACTAAAATGCCTTACTTCCTGTGGGTTTTCAGAGGAAACATGTAAATAATTTTATAATATAAAAAATTAACTCGATCTTAACTACATATTATTCATGAATTATTGAGATCTTTTACATTAAGATTTTAATATTGTATACTACTTTTAGAGATTGCTTACATTTATAATAATATTTACAGTAATAACTACAGTAACAGAAATAACAAAAAGTTTTTAAAATGCTAAGCCACAATCTAAAAGAATATTTCAAACCACAAATATATACTTTTACACTTTGATTCTATTTATAAGGTAAACATTTAAGCTACATACTTCTAATGAAACTACCAGATTTTTGTGGAGAGACTACAATAACATGAAATACTTACTTTATTGCTTAGCTGAGGAAAAGTGACGCTCTGATAAGGGAAAGACTGGTCATCAACTATGTGCCAGTGGAGAACGTTAAACTTATTAAAAGCCATGGCATCCTGCAAGCAAATGTGAAAATTTATATGCCATAATAAAGAATACAGTCCATGTTGTAGATCTACACTTATGATTCTTCCAAGTGCCTCCTTTAAAATTTTCTTTTTCAACAAATAGTGAAAAGCATGAATTCTTCATCACATATAGTTGATATACATGCCTCTACTACAACCTCTACAGTATTCTTCTACACTGTGATGTTACTGTATGGAAGGAGAGCAAGCTTGTGAATTTACCAGTATTTAGCGGTCTGGAATGGGAGAAATAAAAGCTGAGACTGTCTTTGGGAATAAAGCAGAGGAAAAAACAAAGTACTTAAGTATCAAAACTTATAAATTCCCCTAGGTACAAAAGTTAATAACCTTGAGAAATGAAATTCATTACAAACTTGATGCCAAGCAAAATGAGATTTTTGGCGCATCTTGATATATTGAATTTGATGTATATCATGGAAGAATAAACTATGATTTTTTATTATTTTTATTTTATGTGTATGCATTATTGCCTGCGTGTAGGTAAGTGCACCTGTGTCGTGCAATGCCCGTGGAGGTCAGAAGAGGCTGTTGGATCCCCTGGGACTGGAGTTACGGACAGTTGTTAGCTGCCATGTGGGTGCTGGGATTCGAACCCAGGTCTTCTGCAAGAACAACCAGTGTTCTTAACCACTGAGCCATCTCTCCAGCCCCAAACTATGATATTTATATAAACAAATTTTGAGAAGATAAAAAAATAAGGGGATAAATTTGTGCTATCAAATGATACAAACATAAAGCCTCCCTTCTTCATCGAGACCGAAGGGATTTGGTTGATGCAGCTAGGAAGCAGCTTGCACACTAGGAGACAGCACCAGTAATCTAATTCAATATAGTCAGTATAATGGAAGGGTTTTTACTGTCAGAGAAAGAATTTATAAATGTAGTAAGTGGCATTAATGTAATGTAAACTCATAATTTTAATACAGACTAGGGGTTCAAAAACTTTACATGAAGGATCAGACAGTAAATATTTCAGCTTTTGAGCAGGGTTTCTGTTACAACTATTCCATTCTGTAGCTGTAGAGTAAGGCAGCATGTAAACTAATGCATGGGGCTGCATTACAATAAAACTTTATTTGCAAAGGCTGTGATACTATGATAAATTTGGGGGGGTTTGTGTATGTCTCCTGGCTCATAACTCCTTCCCAATGCAGGTGGTCAAAATACTCCTTTTCCCCAAGCCCAGTCATACAAACTAATCTTGCCCTGAATTTCCATCTTGGAGCTGGCCCTAAAGAAATTCTGGCCTACTCTTGTCTGATAGTAGATCCTAAGACCCTCAACCTTAGGGACTGAGCCCTCCGTGTCTGGGATCTGATACTATCATCAGGTAGACATCATCAGAAGTGACCTGGATTAGAGGACACCAAACTGGTGTGCCACTAAATAGCTGCTGGCTTGCCACTGGAGAGAAATCTTTACATCTTTTAAAGTCACAGAAGCCTTTTAGAGAAGAAACAGTTTTCCCTGACATACAATGGCAACTGGATTTGGCTCTTGAGTTTTGTTTTTACCAACTCTTGATACAGAATGAGAGACATAGGGTAAGATGTATACACATGTTCATAAAAAAACATAGTGAACAAACACACACCTGATACTTTCTAGCTGCTGCTGAGTTCAGGACCCACCAGCAAGATACCCTTGTTATAATGTGCCTACCTACAGCCCAAATCTGGGTTTTGAAATATTGACCACTGAAAGGGTTCCTTGACAAAAAGCCTGAATCTAGAATGAGGCAGGAAAAATAAGCTTGGGACATCATGGTGCCAAAAAGATAAAAGTACACAGAGATTGGGAGGGATGTTTCAAAAGAATACAAGAACCAGCTTGAAGGATTCCCAATGGCCACAGCTGGGCAATTTGACAAACAAATAAGGTATTAACAGATTACAATCCATTAAATAAAATGGCAATCCAGATTGATGAAAATGAGTACTCAAATGAAAAAGGGAATGCTCTTCCTTAACATGAAACAATAACTAGTGAATGCTAGAAAAAATGATGGCATTAGAAAATCACCACTTAACCACCAAATACCCTCCTGACCTGGGCAAGCATCAGCTGTAGATGCTAAAACTGGCAGGTAAGCATTGCATGAGTAATGGCAATTTCAGATAGCCTCAAAATTTCTTCACGTAAGATACTTAAATGTTTGTTAGTAAGCAGAAAATACTTTTAAATTAGCTTGACAGTGGAACATGGCAGATAACAGCCAACTTGTAAGAGTACACAATCCTTGTAATAAGACCACATGCCCCTGCATGCACTGAGAATACATCAAGTCTGCTTTGTTCTTAAGAACTGAATCTGATGTGAAAAAAGACAGGATAAGGCATGTCCTAAAAAGTACCTGGCCTGTACTTTTCTGAAATATCAGCTCTTACGAAACAAATAAACATAAACAGCTCTAGGCTGAAGGCAGCCAAGGAGCAAAGTTAATGCAACACCTGATCCTGGACTTCAGTGAATGCCACTGGAAAAAGCAATGAATTCTGCTTTGTGTGATGGACAGAGCATTGTATCATCTGATGCTTGCACTGAAGCTGTTTTGAGAAGTGTCCTTTTTTTTCCTTATAGGGAATGCAAACAAATATTAAGGGGTATTGGGTCATTCATTGCATGTGTGCATAGGCATTTTAAATAAGAGGGAGAATAGGGAAAATGCAAGTTTTGAGTAAATTTAAGAAATATTTAAAATTTTCAAATTGCTGCTCTTGTAGAGGACCCGAGTTTGAATACTAGCACCCGCATGGAGGCTAATAACTGTCTCTAATTCCAGTTCTAGGGGATCTGACACTCTTTTCTGGCTTCTGTGGACACTGCAGGACATGGGTGCACTTACATGTATGCAGGCATAACATTCATACACATAAAATAAAAATAAAGGTTTTAAAATGTTTTTAAAATCGAGCATCTGATAAAGAATGTATGAAAGTTCTTTGTAGTCTTTAAATGTTTAAGAAGCTTATAGTCAGCCAGGCATGGTGGCACACATCTGTAGTCCCAGCACTCGGGAGGCAGAGGCAGGAGGAGTGCTGTGAGTTCAAGACCAGCCTGGTCCACATAGTGAGTTCCAGGCCAGCTGGTGCTACAGGGAGACCGTTTCAAAAAGACAAAAAAACAAAGAAGCTTATAGTCTTTTGGTAGGTGATGGTGAGGGTGAACCAAATAAAACACCTAGAAGGAAACAGTTATTGTCGGCCTTCTTAATTCCCACCGCCCCAAGGTTCCAGGTCCTCTTGGAACATTTCGAAAGAGAAAACAACTCCCGGACCTCTCTCTATGCTGCTTAAAAAAATGTATAGGGGACAAAATTAAAGGATGTAACTATAAATATGATGGCCATCTATTCTAAGCCAAGTCTGGATGCTGGATCTGATGAATGGGAGTACAAATTTGGGTCAATGGCAGTATTAAAATTCTTTCTTACTTTCATACTATGGACATACTCTGGACAAATGACTTTTCCTTACAACCAAAAGTTAATCTTACTTTAGCTATTTACAATGAAGACAAGCTCACTGAGCCATGTATTCCTCCTGTGACCAGGTCAGAAGGACTTAATTTCCCATGACCTTTCCTAGTCCAGAATTTAAAACAATGTCTGATTGTGCATGTGTTTCTTTACATACCAGGAGCTGCAGCTGCTCATCTCATTGCAAACAACAAGAGAAACTGGTGGCATCTGTTTATGGTTATGTGTGTATGTTAGTCTAGGTCTAGGGATCAGAAAAGGCCAAAGGCTCTGATAAGATGACATTTACTTCTCCACTTCATGCTGGATATACTTTTTCAATAAAACAAAGAGCTAGTCCTTGTTTGAGAGCACAGTTCTGAGAGGAATTAGAAGGAACAGGTTCTCAGCAGGTGGGGTCCTCTCCTGGACTTAAAGTGGATGCTAAGAGGCTTTTTTTTTTTTTTTAAAGTAATGTGACATTGGATAGTAAACACTGCACTTACAAGCATAGTAATACATGTTTGTAATCCCATGGTGTTGAGGTAGGAGGATTAGAAGTTTGAGGCCAGCCTAGGCTACAAAGCAAGACCCTGGCTTAAAACCAAAACTTTCTCTTATCTTGGCCAAATTCATGTTGTCTGTGATTCTCCCAACAAAAACAAGAGGGTGATCCCCTCAGGGGTGCCTCCAAACTCACAGCTGAAGAAACATTCTTCCCCAGGGAGGGGCATTAGGAAACCCAGTGCTTAGACTTAGTACGAGGAAAATGAAATCATCCTGCTCCAGCCTACAGGACAGCACAAGTAGTTGGCACATAGTAAGCACACAGGGGACAGACCTTCAAGATCAGCAGTGATGTAGATGACATGATTACCTACCAGAGTTTTTAAAATAACCCTGACTGGCAGGTAGTGTCTGGATGTATCAATTAAAATTCCTCTGTAAGAAAACCTTGGAGAATCAGCAATGTTGGATACATTGATGTTGAACTAGGAGATGAAATAAAATTGATTAGTTTTAGACTTTTTCCTCCATTTAAGCGCAATAAAGACTACCCACAAGTTTTGGGCAAAAGATTAATTTATAACAACAAAAGTGCATGAAATTTACATTTGCCAGTCAAGAACAATATTTGGAGAAAAGAAACTTCCAATAAGCAACAAACAGCTAAGGAGATTACATTTTTCTAACAGCAATATATATATCCAACAATTTTTAGTAGATATAATAGTTATACTTACAGTACCGTAAGAATTCTGATATACTAACTGGCTAAAGGTCTCTAAACCTGAGGAAAGTAAAATGTATTGCATTAATTTATAAAATAATAAATTGAAACAATAAAAGTAATGTCCAAACAGACTTATAACCACAGAGCAAATGGAATTAAGTAACTATTGCACCCACACTCTCTAAAATGTAGTACTAGTCTACATTCTAACGTGTTTTCTAAAATCAAAAGTTTTTAAAAACCACTGCCTTCCCTATTCAGGGAATAAATGTGCTTTAGCTCACTGTACCCATCTCCTCTACTATTTTACATGTTAAACACAAAAGTGACTTGGTAGGACTAGAGAAATGGCAGAGGATCTGGGTTCGAATCCCAGCACCCACATGGTGGCTAACAAACATCTGTAACTCCAGTTCCAGGGGATCCAACACCCTCTTCTGACCTCCATGGGCATTTTATGACATGGGTGCACTTAGATACATGCAGGCAATATACTCATACACATAAAAAAAGATAAAAAGTAATAAATATTTGAAAGAGCGACTTAGCCAGTTTCTTAATAAATTTATAACATTATAAGAAATAACTTTTATAATAAAATAGTCATTTTAGAAAGCACCTAAATTTAACAGGGGGAAAAGCTTAAAAAACTATGGTGAAATGTAAGGTCTAATTTACTACTTTACAATGTTTTACTTACAGCTGTAAAAAACTATCACCTCAACATGCTTTTTAAAGATTTTGTTTATTTATTTATTTATTATTTTTATGTATGAGTGTTTTGCCTGCATGTGCATGACTGGTGTTCATAGAGGCCAGAAGAAGGCATTAAACCCCTAGAATTAGAGTTATGCCCAGTTTTTAGCTGCCATATGGGTGCTGAGAATTGAACCTAGGTCCTCTGCAAGAGCAGCAAGTGCTCTTAACCACTGAGCAATCACCAACCCCTTGAACATGTTTTTATTAAAGCAGGTTCTTCCTTAAGGTGCTAGGTTGAAGTTTAATTATTCTAACTAGCCTTGACTATCAAGATTTATTATTCTGGTCAACAATAATAGGGGAATTTTGACCAAATAACAGTTCAAGGTAACCTTTGTCTCTCCTCACTGTCTCTACCCACAGGTTCATCCCACAGGAATAACTGAAATTTTGTGTTAAGGAACAGTATACTTAGAAACATCACTTTGAAAGTCTGATGGCAAAGAGAAAATCAAACTTGGACTAGAATCTACTCCCTACATACTCTCTAAAGTTCTTCATTCTGGTTTGGATCAGGATAAACTGTAAGAAGCTATTCTAACAAACAAACCCCTGCCAAGACAGGCAGACCAAACTAAGAAAAGCCTATAACAAAAACATTGTATAGAAATGATCCAAATGGTAATGACCACAGTCATTACATTTACAGATCTATAGATATTTTCTCTTTTTTAAATTACTTTTATTTTATGTGTATGAGTGTATTGCCTGCATGTATGTGAGTGTACCCATGTCGTGCAATGCCTCAGAGGTCAGATGAGGGCTTCAGATTCCCCTGGAACAGGAGTTAAGGATGGTTTATAGCTGCCATGTGGATGCTGGGAATCTAACCTGGGTCCTCTGCAAGAGCAGTCAGTGCTCTTAACTGCTGAGCTGTCTCTCCAGCCCAGATCTATAGATATTTTCATATCTTATTTTGAAATACAATTTTTAACATTTTATTTTATTTCATTTTTACTGGAAGGTCTCACTTTGTAGCCCCGGCAGGCCTGGAATTCACTATTTAGACCAGACTGGCCTGGAACTCACAGACGTCACCTGAGATTAAATGTATACTTCACCACACCTGGCATTGAGATGTAATTATAATCATACCAATTTTTGTGAGGAGGAGGTAGGTGATCTCTGAGTTCAAGGCCAGCCTTATCTACATAGTCAGTTCCATCCAGGCCAGCTGGGGCTATAGGGAGACCTTGTCGCAAAAAGACCAAAAAAAGCCAGGCATGGTGGTGCACACCTTTAATCCCAGCACTCAGGAGGCAGAGGCAAGCGGATCTCTGTGAGTTCAAGGCCAGCCTGGTATCCATAGCGAAAACAGGCCAGCTGCAGCTACAAGGAGACCCCCTCCCCAGTCTCAAATAAAGACCAAAAAAAAAAAAAAAAAAAAGTGATAGTGATCATCCAACCTGAGTCGAATTGAAATCCTTTATGTTTTTAATCACTATAACTTTGGTTGGCTAGCTCATATAAAATAATTCCCCTTTTTAAAACTGCTATTTGGAAATCAGTGTAATGTACTAGCTGCCTAGAAGAAGAGGTTAAAAAAAACTTTTGAAAAGCAAAAGTAAATGTCTTGATTCAAAACTTTGAAATTCAGGCCCTGAAATTGACAGGAAAAGCTTCCAGGGTTCTCTCTGCCACTGCCTCTAACCAATCTACAGCATATTTACCTCAGCACGCTACTTGTATAAACTTGCTGATGTTTCAAAATCCAGAGGCACAGAACATTGAGGAAAATACTGCAGGTAGCAAGAAAAGATAGGTGATCCCAACCCATCTGATCAGAACCAACTTGGGCCACTGACAGCCATATAAATGTTAGAGCCTACAGCATCAGATGTGCTTTGACACTGTTGGAGGTCACCAACCACAAATACCTTTGAGAAGGTCAAATGAGGTTTCTCCTGTGCTTCAGCTAGTTTATTTCATGGAAATCATTTTGGAAGGAAATAAAACATCTTTCTGAGGGCCCAAGGCAGCACTGTTCTGCTGTGCTTGATTTCACAAAGCACCACATGAAATGAAACTGCACAGAACTTACCTCGTAATGCTCCCCAAACTCTGTTGGCCTTGAGGAAAGCCACTGGATATTGGACAAGTAGACTATCTGTGGGGTGGAGTCGGCAAATTTGTTAATCTCAAATCACAACGTATTTTCCAAACATTCCTATTTTTACAACATTCTGTTGTCTTTCCTCTAGCATGCCTCACTCAGATTCCTTAAACTCAAAGTGCCCCAATCTGAACTCCCACACCCAGGACTTTAACCTGCCCAGCTCCTTTGTGTCTCATTTCAGTGAATCCCAGCACCACCCAGGCAGGAAGTTCAGCTGCTCAAGCCAGGCACCTGGGCATCACCTCTAATACTCCTATTCTCCAGGAGGGCCATGCTCTCCAGCTGCACGCCACAGAGCAGGGTCTGAGCTACACCAAGATCTTAGGTCACAAACAGGCCTGTGTCCACAGTCCTTGGTTGCTGAAACCTCCTACTCACCTCAAGACCAGAACGTTTACTCCCCTTTTTCCCTTCAGTTCTTTCATTTGCTCTGCCTCCCTTCTCTTAATGTCACCTGAAATTGACTTTAAAAATTCTAACTCCCTTCACCTTAATTCAGCTTTATCTCTTTCAATAAAAGGTTCACATCCATCAAGAATGGGACTCCAAGGGCTGGAGAGATGGCTCAGCAGTGAAGAGCACTTTCTGCTCTTGCAGAGAACCTAGGTTCTGTTCCCAGCATCCACATAGTGGCTAACAACTATATGTAACTCCAGTTCCAGGGAATCTGATGCCCTCTCTTGGCCTCCAAAGGCATTGTATGACACGAGTGCACTTACATGCAGGCAAACCACTCACACACATAAAATAAAAATAAATAAATCAAAAGTATTTTTTTAAAAAGACATATTTGAGGAGGAAGCATAAAAATTTACCTCATGTTAAATAGTAGAAGTGATAAACATTACCAGTGAAATCTACCTGATGACTTTATATCCATACTCAGGTACTAAGGATCCAAGTGTAACTGAATGTAACTCGTAATCATCAGATACATAGAGACTAAAGACACATGTGCAAACATCTAAGTGTTAGTAGCATTAAAAATGTAGGAAACAGCATATTTTAAAATTAAATGGAGATCTTCTTTAAAGGGTAAAAACTCAATTCAATTTTATATTTTACAGGGTTTATACTGAGTTCAATATTGTATAACTATATTAATTCAACTGTGAACCTAAAAATTTACAGCCACTTATGAAAGAGATGTACTCTTGCTCTGGAGTGTGTTACTGAATATGTTAAAGCTGTAGTGAAATGCTAGTGGCACATCCCCGTAGTTCCAGCACTTGAGAGGCAGAGGCAGGCAGATCTCTGTGAGTTCAAGGCCATCCTGGTCTAC